TGTATCATTTATTAAAATGATGGGGTTTATGTCCAAGAAGTGAACAGAAAGCTAGTTTTCAGATGCACAAAAAGAAAAAGACTTGTCCTTTGGTCAGATGAAACTAAGATGTATGACTTAATGACCACCGTGACATTTGGAGAAAAGAGAAAGTGGCTTGGAGATCTTAATAACTTCATCCTAACTGTGAAGTACAAAGGTATCAGCATCACTATGTGGGTGATTTGCAGTAGGAGGGACTTTTGCACTTTACAAAATAGATAATAGGGAAATGACATTATCTGGAAACATTAGAGCCAGATAGTTAGCAACAAATGGGTTTTCCAAATGGACAATGATGCTAACCATACTGCCAAATTAGTTTTAAATAATCAACATTTTTGAATCACATAGAAAATATGTAGGCAAAGCTTGAAGTTAGTCTTTCTGCAAATCTGACTCAATCACACCTGTCTGTTCAAAGGAATTGCCCCAAAAGATCCCCTAAACTACTCTGAAAACATATTTAAACCTAAGTTCATTCAAATATTTTATAATATTCCAAGAATAACAGATTAAATTTGGACCTATGAAGAACAGAAAAGATTTTTAAAAATCTATAAACATATGTTATCTCTCATCACTCCTGTATTTATGCTTTAGGTAAATTAAGATAATCTTGGAGTCCTACATTACAAAAAACAGGAAGATGGTGTTATTATTTTGGGATTATTTTCTCAGACCAAAATAAACAAATCCTTTTTTTGGCCTTTAAGATACTGTGTTTAAGCATTAGGCTCCAATTTTTGTAAATTAAAAATGGTGTCACCAGTCCTCTTTGCAAAAATTATATGCAGTGATTTTACATACTCTGTAATTGTAATGAGCACCAAATGGACCAAATTTAAAAAATTTTTTTGAATAATACACTATATTGCCAAAAGTATTTGCTCACCCATCCAAATTATTGGAATCAGGTGTTCCAATCACTTCCATGGCCACAGGTGTATAAATTCAAGCACCTAGGCATGCAGACTGTTTTTACAAACATTTGTGAAAGAATGGGTCGCTCTCAGGAGCTCAGTGAATTCCAGCGTGGAACTGTGATAGGATGCCACCTGTGCAACAAATCCAGTCGTGAAATTTCCTCGCTCCTAAATATTCCACAGTCAACTGTCAGCTGTATTATAAGAAAATGGAAGTGTTTGGGAACGACAGCAACTCAGCCACGAAGTGGTAGGCCACGTAAACTGACGGAGCGGGGTCAGCGGATGCTGACGCGCATAGTGCGAAGAGGTCGCCAACTTTCTGCAGAGTCAATCACTACAGACCTCCAAACTTCATGTGGCCTTCAGATTAGCTCAAGAACAGTGCGCAGAGAGCTTCATGGAATGGGTTTCCATGGTCGAGCAGCTGCATCCAAGCCATACATCACCAAGTGCAATGCAAAGCGTCGGATGCGGTGGTGTAAAGCACGCCGCCACTGGACTCTAGAGCAGTGGAGACGCGTTCTCTGGAGTGACGAATCGCGCTTCTCCATCTGGCAATCTGATGGACGGGTCTGGGTTTGGCGGTTGCCAGGAGAACGGTACTTGTCTGACTGCATTGTGCCAAGTGTAAAGTTTGGTGGAGGGGGGATTATGGTGTGAGGTTGTTTTTCAGGAGCTGGGCTTGGCCCCTTAGTTCCAGTGAAAGGAACTCTGAATGCTTCAGCATACCAAGACATTTTGGACAATTCCATGCTCCCAACTTTGTGGGAACAGTTTGGAGCTGGCCCCTTCCTCTTCCAACATGACTGTGCACCAGTGCACAAAGCAAGGTCCATAAAGACATGGATGACAGAGTCTGGTGTGGATGAACTTGACTGGCCTGCACAGAGTCCTGACCTCAACCCGATAGAACACCTTTGGGATGAATTAGAGCGGAGACTGAGAGCCAGGCCTTCTCGTCCAACATCAGTGTGCGACCTCACAAATGCGCTTCTGGAAGAATGGTCAAAAATTCCCATAAACACACTCCTAAACCTTGTGGACAGCCTTCCCAGAAGAGTTGAAGCTGTTCTAGCTGCAAAGGGTGGACCGACGTCATATTGAAACCTATGGATTAGGAACGGGATGTCACTTAAGCTCATATGTGAGTCAAGGCAGGTGAGCAAATACTTTTGGCAATATAGTGTATATATGGTCTACAAAATGCAGCAATGCACCTGAGTATATCAGCTGCATTGCAACAAAACATTGTCTAAACCCTTTAAGACTTTTCAGCCTTTTCATTTCAAACAACAAAGTTAAAGAGAACACAGCAAGAGGTTCTGAATAATAGAGTATAAGATGGAAACAAAGGAGCTACACTAGCACTATGATCTGTCTTCTTTATTTGGAATTACTCTCTGTAAACCTCTGTTGTGGACTTCATTAGTCTTTTCAGACTCCTTACAATTCCTGGGATTAATTATTCAGAGCTGCCTATGGGTAAGGACAAAGGGCTTATAACAATATAATAGTACAGTGCTTGTTACATATACATGGCCAATAAATCTCCTTAATGAAGGTTTCAATCTGATTATTTTAGCAGAGTGTTGCAACAAGTTGTGCTACATGGTCACTCGGACAAAGGGAAGGATTCTCAAACGTTGACCAATGTGGTTTATTAACATAAACAAGACCGCTGTTCTATCCTCCATCTATGAGATGTACAGGTCTAGAGGCAGAAAAAAAAACATCTTTGCTGACTCCACGCAATCTGGCCATACACTGTTTAGACTATTACTTTCAGGCTGGCTGTATAGAGCACTAACTTGTAAAGCAAGTTGATACAGAGACCATTTCTCTTCTCAGGCTATGAATTTGATAAACTCACAGCTCACAGCCAGGGTAGTCAGCTGCTTTGCTGGAAACAAATATTTTGTTTTACTATCGCAACCTCCCTTTTGTATTGTTATAAGAAAAAAGGCAAACAAACACACACGCTACCACACACACAACCCCATTTCCCTATCCCTGTGGGGAACCTCCATTGACTTCCACTCATTTCTAACCTATTTCTACAACCTTACTGTGACCCTTACCATTAAACCATTACAGGTTCATACCTGGCCCTAACCCCAGCCTTAACTCACTTCACACCATAATCCTGAATTTAACCCCTGCCCCTAAAACAGTAACTCACCTTGTGCGTTTCAGGCATAGGCCCCCACAAGGAGCAGTCGGTCATGACAACGTACTATATTCTTATTTCATCCTTCTAAAGTATTTTAAATGCATTATTTGTTGTTGTTTTTTTTTTTGTAATTCAGGAAGCCAAATTCCTTGCTTGTGCACACAAGGGTGACCAATAAAATGGTTAAAATAAGATATTAGAATTACATCTGTTTAACAAAATATTATCTGCAGTTATCACTGTCATTATTTTTTCTCTGGTTTAATGCTTCAAAGAAAATAATATTTACCAGGTTATGTTTAGCTGCAAAGACATCCAGCAGAGCTGAGCTATTGCTGCTTACTGTTACCTTCATGTTTTCCCTCTACAGATTATGTGTTTTACCCTTTGCTTCTGTGTTTGGTTATTGTCCAGAAATTACAGTTACTTGGCTGAATGAGCAATTTCTTACAGTGTTATGTACTCTGATTTTTCTTGCTATAGACTTTATGAATGGTTTGGAGCTGTTATCCATGTTTCTCTCTTTAGGATAAAACATAGTCCTACTGCTCCTGTGAGTATGTGTTTTATATGTTTTTTTTTTTTTTATTGAGCCAGGTTAACAATTGAATGCATAGTGTTGGTTTGGACTTGTTCGAGAGAAGGGATTGCATCCAGGTTAGTGCCTCAATGACTTCGACCGGCTTTGCATAAATATAATATGCATAATTTATCCATCTTGAAAAATTAAGTTAACTAAACTGTTGAGCAACTAGAATTTCATTGTAATTGACTTCATAGCTTTCTAAATGGTTGGCCAGAATTGACTCATATTATTATGCCATAATAAAAACTGTAAGCCAAAATTTAAAAAGGTATATGCTTAACTGTCTAAAACAGGTCCAAAATATTTTGTATATTTATGGAAATAAAAATCTTTTAATTTGAATTCTAATATGTTGAGATTGCCATGTACATAGGGATAAGAAATACCTGTGTCTATATAGGCTTAGTTATCAAAGCAGAGGGAAGAAGTTTTTTTTTTAGAATAGCTGAATCAAATTTCGTGGACCTGTTGTTTTCTGAGATTCAAGAAAGACATATGGATATATGTCCTAAATGGCATATGGAACCCATGCCATTTAGGACAGGTTCAACAACCAATAACAGAGAAAGCAAAAAATATTTCTGCTTACAACAAAGGACATTATAGAGGGTTTTCTAAGAAAGGAAAGCTAAGATAAAGATGTCATATTTTACCTACCAAACCTCAGTTCAACTTCTACTCTTCCTGGAAAAAATAAACTTGTATAAAATTGTATACTGATCTTAGCAAGGAGCTTGAAAGATATACCACCTCAATTAAAGGCATAAACAAATCTGAAGGCACCTGGGTCCTTGACAAACCCAATGTGAATTTTTGTATGAAATAAATATTTTATTTTTAAACTATCTATCAATGCTCCCTTTATGTATGTTAACTATAACACTGATTATAGAACGTAAAATTCTGCATATTTGATTTTGTGAGGTTTTTGACTTTTCTTCCTTATAATGTAAACATTCATCAAATTACTAATAATTGAACAAAGTATTTAAAAACGATAATAATAAAAATAAAAACAACATAAAACTACAAATTAAGCATCCTGTTTAGTAAAGCTGACGCTATGAACACAGTTTTAAAAAGCAGATTCGACATAGTATGGAAATTTAACATACAAAACAACATGAAATAATTCGAAATCAACATCTTTGGCGAAAAGGGCAATGAAAAATAGTAATAATAATTTTTCAACTGTTACTTTCAATCGGAGAATAAACAAATATTTTGTGGGAAGTTTTAACCGAAAGTGCTGACGAATTTAGTGACGCTTCAAAACTCAATTTCCAATATGGCGACACGCTGAGTAGAATTTGTGCAAAGCGTTGCTAGTTGCTAAATCATTTCGGCTATATTGAAGCTATTTTGTTTGCTTGGTGTTATTACTGTAAGACAGTTGTTCAGGTATACATATTTTCTTAAATAACTTCAAGATGTATCGTCGCGGAGCCGCAAAGAAGGACCCTAACAACAAACCTGTGAAGAAGGACGTGAGCGACAGCGATAAATACGCCGATATCTTGGTTTTCGGTTATGCCTGCAAACTGTTCCGAGACGACGAAAAGGCTCTTTACCACGAACATGGAAAACACCTAATCCCATGGATGGGAGACAAGAGCATCATGATTGATAGGTCGGTTGAAAAAACGTAGACTGAAACATTATGCTAACTGTTTCTGCTATTCGTTAGCCTGTTTCGAATTTCAAGGGACTACTCCAGAGTTTATGTTGCAGAAGCTCGTCAAGACCAGAAATAAACTACGAATACTTAACTTCCTCCTGCTAACTTGCTTTCAGATGTGTTAAACTAAAAAATGACATATAAAGTTGATATAGTAACATGCTAACATGCAAATGCCTGCGGTTATTGCTAACGTTAGCCACAACAGTCTGGGACCATCGCTCATTTCTATATGTCAAATATGGATGGGGAACTTTTAGCTGTTATTTTTGTTTGCTAGTTTAAGCTACAATCAACATTAGTTATGAATGAATACTTAGTATGCGATTTCATTATTTTTGTATTTAATTAGCTTATGTATTTTGGATTTTTGCTTTCTGGATTTAAGACAACACATGTCATGTTATTGATATCTCTGGTTAGAATAGAGATGCACCTTTCAGAGATTTTGTGGCTGTTAGCTAGTCGTCAATTTTTGTTTTCAGTCAGACTTTCTTTTAACAATCTTAATAATAACAAATTGCGTTTCCCTACTCTCTAGCTAAGTTGAAAAACTGGTCTATCTATCTATCTATCTATCTATCTATCTATCTATCTATCTATCTATCTATCTATCTATCTATCTATCTATCTATCTATCTATCTATCTATCTATCTATCTATCTATCTTAAAGTATAATAATGATTTTAACACACCCTAATATAACAAAACTTTGTCTTTTCCAATTTGAGAGAAATTTCGAGTGTACCAATTACTTTTTTGTTGAAGTGTAGAACAAATAATATCACAGGATGTCATTTTTCGTAAAAAGAAAAATCTGCTAAAAATTTGTATTTTTTCTAATTCAATATTTTCACTGTAGAAGTTCAAATTACCCAACAGCTTTGATGTAATAAAGTCATCAGCTTTTTATATGCTGATTTTGGAAGCATTAAAATATATAATAGATTATAAAAAAAAAAATTTCTCTTTCTTTTATTTTAATTCCCTCACAGACACCCAAAATGGCTAACTCAGAATTTTAAGTATATTTTTAATATCTAAGTGGCTGATTGGTGAAAAGATCAGGTCCAGCGTGTATTTTTTTTTTACAATCCCTGTTGCCAGAAGATCTGTTGGTGCATCTCTATCTCGAAAAATTTAAACTATTCCGTTCAGCTTTGCATATTGGCACGTTATTGGCATGTTATCAGATTGCTAAATAAATATATTAACTCTGTCAAACTGTTTCTCTCCTTTTCAAACTGTCTTTGATTTTAAATGATCAGTTTAAAATTTCTCTCTTTTTTGATTTGTTGATGGTCATCATCCCAGGGAAAATTCTAACCCTGACTACAGTCCCTGTGGCTAAGCTGATTCAAAAAATCCTGGTTTTAAAGAAGCACAAAAAAACATTGCTTTTTTGTGTGAATATATTGCTATCAAAATGTATTTGTTTGAAACATCTTGGTCCACAGTGGTCAAGCCTATACTTCATTTGTACAAAATTTGTATGTGTGTCTTTATCACATAACTCAGTTTTTCCACAGCAAGTTAGGCTTCGGGGTCCTTTCAAACCCTGAATGTCAACAACAGCACCCCATTTCTCTGTCTTCATGAAGAAACTACAGCAGAGAGATGCCCTAGAGGGACAAACCCTGGAATATATCGTCCATTTGGGTTCTTGCGGATAGGTATTTATGTGCTCGGGTTTGTGTGAATGTAACTTTCTTTGCAGATTTAGAAGTAATGATGAGTGTTACAGGGGGGAATTGAACCCTGTAAGGTAAGAGGCGAGTTGCTTTGTTTGTCTTCTTTCTCTTATTTGTTCTTCTTTAATTTTCCATTTAGGTTTGCTTGTAAAACAAAAAAAGAAATGTAAGCATTGTTATAATACTAGGTATTTTATGACAAAAGAATTAATCTAGTTGTTTTTTTTAACCACCATCACATTATCTTGGTAAGTAGGTCTAGGCTTTTGTAATAAATGTTCATTTATGTTTGGACTTCTTTTCTCTAATTCTGTTTCTCATCCAACAGATACGATGGGCGGGGTCACTTACATGACCTTTCAGACTATGACAGCGGGTCATGGAATACATCCTACCAGCTGTCAGAGGAAGAGGCGAGGATTGAGGCGCTGTGTGATGAAGAGCGGTACCTGGCTCTACACACCGACCTGCTGGAAGAAGAGGCAAGACAAGGTAAAAAGATGAATTTCATGGCATATTTCAATAATTTTCAATATGCATATTGAAAAAAAATGTATGTCTTTTTGGTAATTATTTTAAATGTTTTATCCTCTTTAATAAGCACTAATATGACACTAATATTTTTATTTTTATTTACAATAGTATTTCATTTTTTGTCATGGCTCAGTGTTTAAAAAGCTCTTTTATTAATGTAAAATTTGTACAGGTAAAGCACACATAATGATATATAAAAGCTGTTTCATGAATCTAAAGAAAATAAGCAAAATAGAGCTAAGGACTTTACACAATAGCACTGAACAACAGTAGACAGGGTCTGCCTTATTGGTGTCTTTATAATTAGCATGTTTCACAAAGGAGGCACATTTTATGGTCTTCCTTGTTAAACTATTGTGCTGTGCTTGGATTTCTCCCCCATAGTTATTGGAAAGCTATAACCCATGTTCAGCAGATCACATTTCAAAGACGGACAATAAGCTGAAGGGTCTAATACTTTCTCTCTTTTATTGCACAAATCACTGTAAAGGTTTAAAAACCCTCAGATTCTCCATGAAACAGATCTGTTAGGTCACAATTGCAAGTAGTAATGGAGATTAAATTAAAAGTTTTACATTTGTTTCTGTTTTATTTTTCTGTTCCATCTGCAATACAGAAAAATTAAATACAATGCTTAAAGCGTGTTTCTTATTTAGGGGGAAGAGGGAACGTGTTTTTCGAAGTGACAAGATCAAAGTTTGTCCTCTATTGATCAAGTCACTCTAACGTCAACACAACACCACCGCAATGACGGATGGGACATTTTTCGGATTGAAAGAGGAGACGAATGACAGGAATTTATGAGTTAGAAGACGTGTTATTCATATTTTAATCTTTCTCTCAGCCATAATGTCACACTTGCCATATTTTACTGTAAATAATTTTGCACCCTAAAAAAGGGAGAATTTATAATCTGCAAACAGAAGGGGAAAGTCATGTCTGCTTTTCATACTTAACAAGCATGACTCCCATTGATTGTAAAGCGCGTTCTGATAGAAATCACTCCAAAAATACAATGGCTATTTGGATCCCTTTAGGCTCCAACAGGGGCCCAACAAGTTTTGTTGTACTTGGCCCCTCCCTCAACAGAACTAACATAGACTTAAATTGATTGTAAATCTTGTTTAGTCCAAAATCAAACCAAAGTACAAAGGTTTGTTGAATCATGTGTGGTTATTCTAAGGGAGGAATATATGATTGAGGCACACTGCAGAACAGAAAGACCACAGGTAAAGAAGTGCTACACTAGCCTTTCATCCATGCATGATATTCAGAAAAAAAAAATAACCCGCAAAATGATTTAATAATCTGGTAAGGGATCAGCAGTGAAAAATGTTGGGTTCCACCTATTGCTCTTAATGTTGGACCGCTCTACTGAGGCATAAATATTTCAAGTTCAAACAGACACTGGATGCTCACAGTGAATGTCTCCTTAAAGCTGCAGGATGTATCTTACAAAAAATAGGTTTTAATTTATGTATTAAAATGTTTCCTGTGTCCTTACATGATGCAGATAATATGTGGAAAATATCAAGCTCCTTTGCTTCTTCCTTGTGTCATGGAAAAAGGGATCCAAGCTAGGAGGAAGGTTTTAGCGCCTCACTCACTCTTTGACATGGATTTGCTAACAGCAGAGTTAGCAAATCCATAAAATAATCACCCAGGTTTTCAGACAGATTTGATTTAGTAACTTATGGTTTTTTATTTAAATGCAACCTGCCTTTGACACCGATCTGTTGCACTAATTTTACATATCCTGCTGTAGTGTGCAAGTTTTTTTATTTTTTATTTTTTTTATTTTGTTTTAATAAGCTGATTTTGTGATTCAACATTGGCAGATTGCTGCCATTTGTAACATTTATACCTAAATCAAAAAACGTATCTGTGAAATCGTCTGTGATCAGTATCGGCCTTTTCCGGCCCTCTTGGTGATCAGTGGTAAAAATCTTGACCTAGTTAGGAAAGGACAGGGTGATGTCAAACAAGGTTATTTAAAATAAATCCTAGATTTTTGCATTTATTGTAATTATACTTCTTTAATAGTATAGGTAGCTAATTTTTTCATGGAAGATAAAATATAGGTGCATAAATTGGTTCTAGCAGACAGATTGTTTTTCCTCAGTAAAGAGGTACAGTAGTGTTGGAATTAAAAAAGCATTTCCTTTCCTGTTGTACCATAATGACTTTTCATTTTAAAATCTGTATTTATAGTACAATACTAGAATAACCACCATGGATTCATCTTTTTTCATCTTCATTAAAATACATTTATTTATTTCTATCTCTATTTCTCTGGAATTTGAAGGCTCATGCCATATTCTCTCACTGCACAATATAAATAAATAACTTCTATCAATAGTATGCTTTACTGACTGCATATCAGGCTGAATATATCAGCCTATTAGTTTCAGCAACCCTTTTCTAGGCATGTTCATTCTGCTGTTGATAAAATTGCACCAGCTCTGCCCGCACCTTAATAACTAATGTCTAAATCAGTTTTGACTTTAGGATGTCTAGGACACTCGCATCTTAGATGCTGTACATCATAGTTACACAGGTTCTTTGGGTGACAAAGTACTTTTGTGAATGGCTGACTTAATGGCTGCCATTGAATTAATATATGGGTGTTTTAGGTGAAAAATGGTGTCTTGTGCCCAAACTGACAGCAAGAAATGTGTCACTTAATGGTTTGAGTTACACACACGCCTTGTAGAAGGTTCATCCTGCAGAATGTTCTGCCCTTGAGTTTGGAGCCTTGACCCCATTCTATTACCCAGCTGACCACTGAAAGGACCGCAGGACACTAATAGATAGATTGCCATTAATTTTAATAGAAGAACTTTTTTTTCTGAAGTTTCAAAGAGCCTCATCTATAAATTTATATTAAAAGATAGCATAGAATATAGATAGCCTTTTCTTCCTACAGTGGGGAAATCCATGTCCTTACAGGAAAGTGAAACATAGACGCATATACAAGATGTTAATACACTTGTTATTGCTGTTAGTTTTATTCTAAACTACCATATGGTGGTACAATGGCAAAATAAGTTTTTTTGAAAATGAAGAGTTATTGAAAGTAATATCAGACCTTGTTCTAAAGCTTCAGTGAAATACAGTGGGAAAAAAAAAAGATACAAAGGTGGTCTAATCATTGCTATTTTTTTTATTTTATTTTCAAAAGACTGTTTTTCTTGGTCATATGTATCAGGGTTTGCCGGGTCATTAAAAATCATTAAGATTCATTAAACTATTTTTTTTTAAATTGATGCCTTAATTGGCATTGTGATTAACAATTTGGTCAGAAATTTTAGATTTAACCGGTTTCGTGTGTTTGCGTGAAACTGCTTCCGGTTGATCGTAAAGCTGTATGTTCGGAAGGCGGAAGAAAAGCTAGAGAATGGGAAAATGCAAATTCCAACTAAAGTGGCTGGAAAACAAGGAACTTGGGACATTGCTGCAGCCTGTCAACAGTAAAGATGACAAAGGCTTTTGCCATGTTTTATATATGTATATATGAGAGTCATGGGTACTTGTTTATGGCATTAAAATTATTTCTAAGAGCCTTACAAGACCATTAAATTAGAGTTACTCATTCCTGTATAAACCCTGTGTACATATCATAGCAATTAGAATATCCCTCTTGAAGAAAGAATTTTAACATAATTAAACACTATAAAGAACAGGAATATCTAAAGGATGACCAAGGAGCTGTTTTTATTCCGGCCATAAAAAAATAAAAATAAAAAAAACAGAAAAAAAACAACAGTTTTGTTTGTGTTGGTAACGCAATCTAACCCACCAGCAGGTTGCACTCTGCAAGACTAAACTAAATGGCTACAGCTGCAGGGTACAATTTTTACACTGAGATGTGAAGTAAATCAATATTTGCTTGCAGCTTGCTGGGCTGGTCAGGCTTCGGCTGCTAACATAGTATATTGTCAGCTTTATTTTCACACAGACTGCATATTTTCTCGTGTCTCCTTTGTGCTTGTCTAAAATATTTCTTTGCAATGAATAGCCTTCTTGGCCTTTTAGCAGTACAGTCAGATCCTGTTTTTTTTTTTTTTCTATGACTTGACAAATTGAATCGGGGGGAAAAAAGTGGTCAAACAGCTACAAAATATTTGTTTCAGCTAAAAAGAAAATGTTAAAAGTACTTTCCTTGTATTTTTTGATGTCACAAATAAGGTAGAGTATGCTTTGTTTGTGTAGCTTTTACCCTGTTAGTTCAGACCTATGTCTTTAATGGCTTCACTGCGCAACAGTTGATTTAGCAAATCTTCCATGTTTTTGCTTTATTTTATTATTCTTTTTTAGACAAGCCTGTCGGAGATATTAGAGACAAAATCCTCCTGTCATCCAAGGGCTTTATTCCACTTTAAAAAAAAGAAAATATTAAATACTTGATTTCTTCCTGTTCATCTTGCTGAAATTTAACACATCAAAACAAGGTGGAAAAGGTCAAAAATGATTTCAAAATATTTGGTCATTTGCTTCGATAGAAACCCTGCAGCTATTTGTCTTATTTTTATTTTTTTAATTGAATATTTCCTCTGCCTTTTATCAAACTGTGGAAAAAAGTCAAGGCCTTGCATTAAGGAAAGACTGGAGAGGAAGCATCTGAAAATGTCTTGTTTTTTTTTATTAATTAACAAAGCAAAGGTATAGAGTCGCCACATTTAACCTGTCTTAAACAGGCAGCTGCTTGTCCTTGGGTTACTGTGAATGTGTTCCAACATCTGAATTAAGTTTCATTTATGTCATAAATGTTCAGGAAAAACAAAAGCCTTTGTAAATAATAAAAAAAAAAGCTTATTTCTCTGTGCGTATGTCCTTCTTTTTCACAGAGGAAGAATACAAACGTTTAAGTGAGGCTCTGGCTGACGAAGGCACTTACAACGCAGTGGCTTTCAAATACAGCGCTGACTACTATGATCCCTCACAGCCCACAGAGGAAGAGGACGCCAAAAGGGAACATGGTAAGAACTTGTCACAAGTCTATGATTATGAGGAGAGAGACTCTCTGCTCTGGTTTCTACCTGGGGTTACAGAGTACTTTCAGATCGAGGTGATGTCCAAAGGCTGCTGGTCCTTTGATGTCATTGTTTTAGGTCCAACAGAATTGACTACAAGATACTTATTTATGCATTATTGCATACGGCCTTAAGGGCTGTAGCAAACAATTATTTTAATCATTTATTATTATATCGATTATTCTGATGTTTACTCCCGTAATCAGATAAAAAAGAAGTTTCATTCTGCAGATAGTTCACATGATTACTATAGTCTTTTTTTCTGAGCAGCAGAAATGGATGAAAAAATGAAAAGAATTACATTTCTCTTTTGATTAAAAAAACAAAAAGGATTATTCTGCAGTAAAAAAAAAAAAAGAAATTCCACCGTTAGTATATCAAAAGCTTGGCCCTTTTAGGTTGACTTTCAAGGGTCCACAATTGTTTGTAGCGATAGACTGAAGTTTTTTTTTTCAGACGAAATACAAAAGAGTAAAATTGCTTGTTTAAATAAAATATAGTGTCTCAAACGTCATCATGTTGGTTACGTTGCAATGCTTTCTGGGTAACTGACATATGCTAGGTCCTGTAGTGTTAGCTCCATCCTACCAATAAAGTAGTGAGTAATGTTAAACCTTTTCAGTTTAAATCACAGTGCGATGAAATTGATAAGTGTAGAAATCACAGGAGGTAAAGAAGTTTTGGAGGACCAAATGGAGAATGAGGGGAGAGTCTGTCAAAGAATCTGGTGTTTGTGCGGCTGCTACTAGGAGACGCCAACCCTGGTGGAGAGTTATGATACAAAGAGCTCCGGTTTCTTAACTAAAGTGTGAACTTTTGATGTCGATCATCAGGATTAAAACATTTTACCAGATTTATAAGAATGATGTGTTTCAACTGATAGATGTGTCTCTGTTACTTAAACAGTTCTTCTTCTTCTGATTAGATTGTGATTCCATGTAAGCTTCTACTAATGATGTTAGCTCTTGCTAATATAGTAAATAGTAGATGACAAGCCATGAACATTTGTTTATTTTAACAGTTCTCTCATGTGTAGTGGCTCATGAAAACCTTGAGGCAGTGAAACAGTGTTTCAAAGTCAAAATGTACACCAGTTAAATGCAGTAAGATTTTAAAAAACAGTTCTGGTAATGTTAGCCTCCCTGTTTTTACTCTGTAGGTTCTGGTCCAGTGAGACCTAACCGCTTCATCAAGCCAGCATGTATTGTGCAGTAGGTCAGCATGGAGCAGAGCTCAGAGCTAAACTGTTGCAACCGAAGCTCAGTCGATGCTAGCCGACTCACTGATACACTTTGGCTACGTTTACACTGCAGCCTGAAAAATCCGATTTTTTTTTTTGGCCCATTATCTGATCTTTCATGGCTGTCTGATCAACTCAGATCCGATTTTTTTCCAATGAGACCCAGGCCACTTGGCTCTGTGGTCCTGAATCCGATACAAATCTGATCTTTTCAAATGCAACATGTGTCTGGACGGCCAGGTCGCATTCATCCGACCTGAACGTCAATAATATCCGACATAGGTCACTATTCTGGTTCTTGCTATGAAGAAGTGGCAAGAAAAACAACAACTATGACAACGATGTGGAGAGCAGTATTTATGTTTTTTAACCATCTTAAAACGATTGTGTTTTTATGGTTGGGAAAGATTGTTAGATGCGCTCGGGCACTACCATCCATGTTTACTTCCGTAAACACAGAGTATGCTGGCCTCTGACGTCATTGCGTCCTCTACTGCGCATGCGGGACATTTGGATATTTGGAAATGTGAACGGCAACGCAAAGAAATCGGATTTCACAAAAGAATTGGAATTCAGCATCAAGGCCTTCAGTGTGAACGTAGCCTTTCTTTTCACAAAATTTTATCATGAACTTACACTTTTAAATCTTAATGTTTCTCTGCACTTCTTTTGCTCATTGCTGTCTTCCTCCATTGCTGATAACCGCACTTGATAGCCATGTATCAGTAGGGTAGGCTATCATTAGAGGTAGCCACCGTGCCGAAACATGAAAAGGATAAATATAAGATAAACAGGATTAAATGAAGCGTCAAGGCAAATGATTGGTCTCAAAATATGTTATTAGGTCTTTGAATAATTCGTTGAATCTTTACAGCCCTAATGGCTTTCATCTTTATCTGGATTTACTGTGCAAACTGTGAATAAATAACAAAAAACATTGTTCGTTGAAGAAATCATGTAATGATAGCACAAATACTAATTTGCTAAATCCATCACTTTCTTTATGTTCTTTTTCTGGGTTTTCAAACTTAACTCTTTATTTCTTTTTTTACACATTCAATCTACTTTCTCTAGTAGTTCCAAGAAGAACAACCAGAAAAAGGCCCATGGGATGTTCAGTTCCTGGAATGAATTCACAATATATACAGGACATACTGTGATATTATATAATTATTGATGAGTCATGGGAAGACCATTTTCCAGGCTCCCTATAATGCTTCATTTAGGAGCAGGAAAGAGTAAGTCATTTTGCTGTAATAGTCAAGTATGTTTAATGGTAGTAATAAAGAGACCAGGAGCAGGGAAGCTTTTTAAAGCCAGTGTTTAATAATGGCTTTCTCAGTTGCTGCCAGCATAACATTTAAAAGGTATTCATCATCTTTACTTAAATCTTAAGAGATCTGCAGATTCTATGGGATATATAAGCATATTGGCATATTTAACTAAATCTTCAAATTTTTAAAATTACTGAGGCAACATCCTTTCTGAAGTACTCTGTTTTAGGGGAAAGCCCAGTAAATGTGATCAATTGTTTCTGTTCCCTTGTGAAAAAGTGACAAAAGGCTTTTCAGGTTTAAAATTACCTTCTGAGCTTTCCCATTAATTTATAGTTGGTGATGCTTGGTAGCCTGATTTAAATTTTGCCTGAAAAGCATAAATGGATGACTTTGTATTCAGCAAACATTGCGCTGCAACCTGATTTTAGGAGATGACTTCCCTCTACTCCAGCCGGCTTTAGGTCCCCGACCACAATCTGATTTATTACTCTACTTATCTCTGTATAAAATATTCAAGGCCTGGTGCGAACTTTGAATGAACTTCTCAAGGTGTCTGAATATTTCTACAAACCTAAAGCTAAATTGTTTTACATGATCAAGCTTATTTGATATAAAAAAATTAAAAGGAAATAAAAAGAACATAACCATAGGTGTATATTAAGAAATTAGAAAATTGTTTAAGTTTAACATTCTTTTTTTCCCCTTTTCAGAAAATGGAACTTTTATATTGAAAAAATTCATTGAAGATAAAGTAAAATATTTCAGGCCTTTATTTCTTGTGATTTTTTTTACGGAGTCCCTAAAGGGACATGGAGGGGAAAAAAAGAACTTTTATGAGATCCCGCAATACTTTTGCGAGATCCCGCAATAGTTTTGCGGGATCTCGCAAAACTTTATTTTTTCCCTCCATGTCCCTTAAGGGGCAAAATAAACTTTAGCGAGATCCCGCAATACTTTTGCGAAAGTTGATTTAATGCGAGATCTCGCAAAACTTTTGCGGATCTCGCAAAACTTTATTTTTTCCCTCCATGTCCCTTTAGGGCAGTGGTTCTCAAACTTTTTCTGTCATTCCCCACTTTGGACAAGGGGGAATTTTCAAGCCCCGCCTGTCCCCATCGCCCCAACACAATGCTAATGAAATATGCAACAATCTTAAAATGTTCCAATTTTATTGAAGTAACAAGTAGTATCTAAATACAAACTATCTACATCAAATAACAGCAAGCTCAAAAATAAAGAAAATAAAAATGCAGCTGTGTCAAAATTTGTATCAAGCTCAAAGATAGAAAAAATTAAAGTGCCACTCTGCAATCTGTTAATAAAAGAAAAGAAGTGAAATCCATCTGGCAAGACAGGTCTATTTATCCCTGCATTAGTGGCTGCAATGAGCCTGTTTTGCATTGCACAGTTTCTCAAAACGGGGTTGCAGGCTTGATACTGCCACTCTCAAGTCATGCTCAATGTTCAGCTGAGATCTGTATTTTGTTTTCATTGAAGCAACAGCTGAAAAGCCCATCTCACAGAGACATGATGTGGCAAAGGGAAGAAGAATGCACACAGCTCTCTGCCCGATGAGTGGATACTCGCTCTCCACTCCTAACCAGAAACATGAACATGTGGCTGTGTGAATCAAACGCCGTTATTTATTTAAGATAAAATATTTCAAATTCAGTTATTTATGATCAACCTGCGCCGTCAATCCCGGCGCATGTGCGCTTTATTTGCAGTCTGGACGCTAAAGTTAAACATGCTGTGTGTCTGACTGCAGCGCTGAGAGGGACTCCTGCAATAGCGGGGGAGAATGGGGTTGGGACGGAGGAGGCGCCCCACGGCAGCATCTGCCGCTGGAGGACAAGAAAAGGAACGATACGTGCTTTCACGTAAGAGTCTCCAAAAGGCGCTAGATTTGTCGCTAGTCGCTTTTTTGAAAAAGAGTCGCTGAAGGGGTCTGAAATATAGCGACAAAGTCGCCGAGTTGGCAACACTGGGGCGCGAAAGTTTATTCTGTTACAAATAATATGCCGACGTCACGTCAATCATTATTTTGGCACTTCAGTTCCAGGTGAAATTTTTCTCATATCTAATGTTCTTTTAATTAGACTGCATGTAGGCTAGTAATGATTACTTTGTGGGTTTGATTGGTCTAAAAAGCGGCAACATACAGCTATAAGGACAGTTTGCTCTCACACGTTCTACATTTATAGTCACACAACACACACACACACACACACACACCGGAACTTGGCGCGCCCCACCTGTCACGTCTCAATTCCCCACCAGTGGGTCGCGCCACACACTTTGAGAACCGCGGCTTTAGGGGCTCCGTAATTTTTTACTTATGACTAAGAAATAATTAAAACCTCTAAGTAGTATTTTAGTATTTTATTTAATATTAAGATATTTAAAAAAAAGTTTAATCTTTTGAGTGGTGTTAAAGCATAATATGCTAATTAATGTTAAACACCTGCAAATGCTTGATAAGCCTGTAAATGGTCTGTTTGAATGAGTAAACCATACAATGGGGGATAATGTTTATTTGACGGATGTCCATAACTTTCATTAACACAAGGGTAAACAGGGTGAGAGTGCTTTATCCAAGCGCATTCAGAGAATGTTTTCTCAGAATGAAAAAGTGTTTTAAAAAAGTGCAGAGATAACCACAACCTTAGGTTCAACTAGTCCAGTCTGAGTTTACTGAGTCAGTAAACTCAGACTGGACTAGTTGAACCTAGAGTCACAATTTTTAGATGAAGACTGTATGTTGGCTTTAAGTGTTGGGTCTCACCTAAGAAGGAAAGATAACACTGGACTGTCCCTCAATAGTCCAAAATCTTGTTTTCAGATGAAAGTAAGGTTTGTATTTCGTATGAAACTGAAGCTCCCAGAGTCTGAAAGAAGAGTGGAAAGCAAAGAATCCACGTACCTTGAAATTCAGTGACTGAGTTGTACTTTTTGCTCCATTCAGTCAGGAAAAAAATCATTTCATTCTGGCGCTTCTTCCGACACCTAATCAAAACAATATTCATGTTGTAGAAACTGAGGGCTAGGGAAAATGTTCAAAGTTTCAACCCTTTGAAAACCTCAGATCACCCCCACACAACTTAAAAGAACTAAAATTAAATTTTGAACATCAAAAAGTTTTTAAAATTAGTATACATTGGAGCAACTCACCAACTTTACATATTTGATGTAGTAACTGCTAGAGGCGTTTCCAGTAGCCTGACAGGTAAGTGTTCATGGCTTGCATTCCCTTCAGGGGAGGTTTGTCGAACAGAGGTATTAAAAGGTCAGCTGAAAATTCTGATTTTAGATTTTCCTTTTGGGAAAAGATCTGTGCAGTTCAGGTGGCTGGTTAAAGAAATCTCTGACATTTATCAAAAACTCTGATGAATTCAAATAGGCTGAAAGGGAGGTGCCCTGGGCACCCTTGTTTGAGTTGACGGAAACGGATACAAATCAATGATGTTGTAAATCAGATCATTAGCTCTCTTTTTTCTCCCTGAGTGAAAGCCAAACTCAGCAGAAGGCTAATATCAGCTAATTTACATGCTCTGTCAAAACATGACTAATGTGTTACTGCAGGCATCACTGAAAAGTCTTACTTTGTTGCTAGCCAGTCATTTCATAGCACACTTGATTTCATTTCCTTTTAAAATTAGGATCTTTATGGGGTGGATGTAAATCTGGTCACCTTTTCTTGCTCAGTTGAGGTGACTGCTATCATCAGCATAAGAACTGTAGCTTTTCTAATTATCAGAAACTATGCTTTTAATATTCTTTTAAATCTTACACGTAAAACATGAATTAATATTCTTTAGAGTCACTATTTGAAAGATTTTTGTACTCTGTTCACAAAATCTGATATGAGATGGAATGAATAGAACTCCACCTTGTTATAAGCTTATTAAAAGATCATACCCATAGGCCATTACACGTTTCCAGCCAAATAAAATCCTAAAGTCGGGCAGAAAGTTTGAGTTTTTACTGGCCATTGTGGTTTTGTATTAAATTAAAGAGTGCCCTTTATCTTTCTACAAACTCCCTACAGTACGACATAAAAAATTTAATCTCACTTCAGTCTGACCTCTGTGTTGTGATCCAGATGAACGTAAAGGCTCAGATGGTATTTCACTGTGATGTATTCGTGGAGTAAAGGGAATGATAGGAGAAAAGTGTCTTTTTTCATTTAAAAAAATTTTTAATTTCCCTGTTCTAACCTTGTTAAAATCCGAGACATGATTTTTTGACTTTGTTTCGAAGGATAAATAGGACTCATTGTTTCTGTTCCATTTTCTTTTCACACACAGAGGAGGCAGAGCCTGAGGAAAGTGAAGAACCATTTGTTGCCCCCCCAGGACTTGCTATCCCACCAGATGTAGAGCTGGTGAGTGCAAAATATTGGCTGGCCCGTGGCTGTTGACAACCTATTGTGGTCCTATATAGTATTTATGAAGGCTCCATGTTTCTTTTGTATGGGTTGCTATAGGTAATAAAAGTTGTTCTTTGTCAGCTTTGCAATCGTGGTTACATGTTTAGTAAGAGTATAGGCAGTTAAACCTTTTTTTGTATATCTTTAATTTATGAGGAAAATGAATATTTCCAGTTAAAAGGAATTTAATTAGCTTAATGCAGCTTGGGATTGTTTAATTAGAGAGACATTTGTCTGTGCATCAAGCTGGGAAATTGTACGAACTGTCAGCAGGAAGGCCTTTTGTTAAAGCTAAGCATGCTAGAAAAGTCTAGACCAATGGTGTTTTCCTTTCTTTCTGTGAGTCAGGCTAGGTGCATTCAGAAAATCCACTTTACCCGAACATTTATACACAGTTTGGAGACTTTTGGAGTATAAACACTATCAAACAGTCTGAGATCTATGCTGCAAGAAATTAATTTCACTTTTTTTATTCAGTTAGAGCCTCTGCTATTGTCCTGCCACTCTGCCCAGAGGAGGACCTGCTTAGCATTAGAGGAATGTATTCCACAGTAGCAGCCTGGGTTTTAAGACCCCCACAGGAACGCATACAAAAAGCAGCCTGTTATATTTAAGGTCCTGGGGAAAACGTTCAGGAAGTAATAATGAGCTTTTAGTGATTTAGCTACTAGATTTGATGCAAAGACATACCTGGACTTCCTCCATGTTGTTTTGTCTTTTAATACGGATAAATGCCCCTCATTAATGAAGATTGGATGGGCCATACTGAAGTGTGTTGTTGGAGAGTAAACTGCTAGACTTAAGTTAAGTTTGGTCTCTACATCAGGAGTTAAATAAACAGAGGGCGCAGATCGATGATTAGTGGCAGAAAATAGAAAATAAAGTGTATTTTAATGCTCATCCCCCTCAAATGTGTTTAACCTGACTAAAGGGGAAAGCTAGAATCCATTTTTTTAAACTAGTAGGTCCACCTCATGCCTCTGGTTCCATGGATCAAGCTCATTTCATGAAAGCTTGCGTATGTAAACCACAAATGCTCCTCAGCTGGTGATTTATGAACAGCCAGAGGTTTTCTAAGGAGGTGTTCATCTTTGTGGCTGTGGGACAGAACCATTTTGTAAAGGAGATCATAAACATGATGAACATTGTTATGAGCTGGTAACATTAGCCACATTTCTAGCCGTCAGTGAAGAAATATGAGGGACTTGAATCCATCATTTATAATCTGGAGTCCAACACCGTTTTACCAAAAAGAAAAGTCAAACTGTGTGTTGTGCCTTGGATTTTATTCACTTCTAATAACCATTCACTGTGTTATACCCAAGCATTTATTTACATCAGAAGTTTATATTAGAGATGCGGTGATGTCAGGGTGTGTGTAACCAAGTTTTGATATTAGTTTTTCCTATAGATTTGCATAAAATAAAATAAAACGATTTTGGATATTTACACTTTTTCTTTAAGCCTCATTGAAATAACAAAGATTGCTTTAAACCCACATTTTAATGCTTTTTCTGCCTTTAGTGCTCAATAATCTTTCATATTTAGGGCAGAGGCAAAGTCGCACCTTGTGTGTCAGAGAGCAGTCACTAAAAATATGTTTTTTCTCTCTGTTATTTTCAAATAAAACATAGTTACTAAGGACATGACATTTGTAACAGGGTGCAGGACCTTTTATTATTGTTAACTTTGCTACCATTTCTAAAATAGTTGTTTCTATGTATTCCCTAGAAAACATAAATCCTTACAACCAGCAGGAAACCTCGTTGATTCTGGGGTTTACTGCTGGCTGTCAAGATTTTCAAATCCAGGATTTTCCAGAGCAGAATGTGGTTAAGAGCTCCAGCAAAAGAAGAAAAAAGGAGCAACTTTAGTGTAATACAGTCCGCCTTTTGAAAATCTATGTTGTTTTTTAAAATAGCATATTGTCAATGTTGTTCAATCAGCAATTTAATCCGCAGCAAGTGGGTTGTTGTCAACAAGAACTGGGGACACCAATTACTGTGTGATCACTGATGGGGAAGTCATTTGGTTTTAGACCTACCCATCATAAGTTGAAGTCATCTCTTATTTATTCATTACATTTATGTGAGATTCAATTCAGTTAGCTTAAATAGCGCCAATTCACAACACGTGTCATCTCAAGGCATTTTACAACTCAACAGGATCATACAGTCAAATCGATTTAAAGTTTTATATCTAAGGAAAACCATTTGATAGCATCAGTTAATTGAGTGGAAGGCAATCCTTCACAGTAAGAGACGGCAAAGAATGCATTTAAACTGACAGTAAAGATAAGAGACAAAGTTAGTTCCCAGACATCTAGTATTTGTTAGTTTTGTACAAACTGTACACAAACTTTAGTAATTAAATGTATTACAAATTTGGAGCCTAAATGTTGCTTTTTCTATTTGCTTTCACCGCTGAGGTTTATTTTTTTGTATTCAAATTAATTTAGATAAAAGTCAAATCAGTGGTTTTATCATTATTGATTAACTTATAACAGGAAAATAATTGTCTGTTTTTATGCTAAGTGAAAAGATTACTCTCATAATCCACTATATTACTTGTAGTGCACCTCACCACACTGACGTTTGTATTTCAGTGTTTGCTGCTCACAGCAGAACATGGCTTTATGCCCAAATAACATGTAAAGGGAAGTAGTACTACACAAGTGTTAAATATTTAAATGGATGTTTCTCTGTTGTATCTACAGATGAAACACAGTGACTCCTACTTTCTTATGCTTGATAGGAACGAACAAAACAGCAAATGTTTGTCATGGGGTGTGTTCATACCAAAGAGCCAAACTTTATGCAGCAACATACAAAAAAGTTCAGGGCAAAAGGGTATCAATGGAAGTAAATCACTAAAAGTAATCTTTTTTTTTTTTACTTAGCCTTTCCAGTGTCTTTACTGATGCTCATTTCTGATGTGCAATATTTTCTATCGTTGCATGCAGCTACAGCTCAAACTGTACGACGAAACCGCAGAGTTTAAAAGTTTACAGCTCACGATGCATGTTCTCACACTGTGCGGCCTGATGCGATTTTACAAAGGCCGACTGAATTTCAAACATTTTTGATTTTCTCCCGACCTTATGATATCTAATTGGTAGGTGGTCATGAGAGGCTGATCGCCCCTCGTTACCCCTGAACAATACACGACGCACAACTCACGATCAGGCTGAAAGTCGGCCCAAATGAAAAATCATACAGTGTATGCTGTAACTTTAAGCAATATTTACCTTAAACTAGTTAGTTTTAGTACCTTAATTGAAAGTTCATATAACACTAGATCTAAATGCCTAACAAATTCATGTTCTGATTGAGATAATATGATCTTCATTAGGTTTTTAGGTTCATTTTTTTTTAAAGCTAAGCAAATTAGCATTAGCCATTTCTGTTATTGTGATTTTCAGCTATAAAGATCTAATTTTATTTAGATCAGGTGAGTGGCAGCAGGGAAGGGGAGGGATGGGCTGATAGCATCTGTTTATGCAGCACATTTTCAGGGAAAAGTGTGACAATTTAGGTGAATATGAATTGGTCAGTTTTTATTGATTTAGCACAAACTTCATCTTTATATTCTCAAAATACCCTGATTACCCTAAAAAAATGATTATTCATAATTTATCTTTTTATTATCGATTATCAGTTACTTTGAAAACTCTGACAAATTTTTAATAATGATGATCGTAATGTTCGATAAATTGTTAAAGAACAAACTGAATATGATTATACTTTTACTTTTTTTCTACTGTTTGCTGCAAGAAAGAAGTAGCAAATATTATTAAAGCTCCATATTTTATGTTTTTGCAGCTTTATATATGACTTGCAATGAAAGCTTTAGAAAAAATAACAGAAACGAGACTGCAACATTTTAAAATATTTAATATCAACTATTCAACTGCAGGGTATTATTTTATTGGATATAACATATAAGCAGCAGGACTTTCTACACCCTTTCCGTGTATATATGTTGCATCCGAATCAGGTTCAGCAGATTTCATAACAGTTTCTTCCCCACTGCCATTAGACTTCAGAATGTTGCATAAAGTGGGTTATTTTATTTATATAAAAAAAAAAAGATGTAATGTTAGAACAGTAAATATGTAGTCATATATTAATATGACATTTTTTTTTATGTATTTAATTCATGTTTTTCCAGGCTGCACTTCAAAACATGGAATTGTCTAGATCTGTTTTAAAGGAAATTTCTTTTTGTGTACATTTGTGTATACAAAATAAATCTGTCTAAGTCTAAATGTAATTGCACAGTTTTATAAAAATAGGAAGGGTTCCCATTTATTTTTGGGGGACACTGGCACCTTTAACTTAATGCCCTAGTTAAAATTTATTGTGACTTTTATGCTTATAAGATATGTTTTCTTCTGAAAATATCTGCCCTTTTATCTCCTTTCTTGCTAATTACTATAATGAATCACTTATGTTGCAAAGTGTTACATGAATAGAAAATCGTTACTCTGTTCATAGATTTTCACCCTTTATCTACTTTCAGAAATAATATCTAAATTGACTTTGAGTTTTTGGCATGATAACGTTTCAAACCTCAAATGACTTTTGTCCTTGGGATGGATGAGTGTTTGTTACTGTATGCTGCATCGTAATGCTTGCCAATTCTCAACTGTAGTACTGATGGCCAAGTTTTACACTAGCTTACTTTTAGTTCAAATTTGTGCTTTTGCCAAATCAAAAATTTGGATTCCTACTTTGCAAGCAGATTGGTTTCATTTATTTTACTGCATTTATGCTAATTGATTTCTCCCCTCTGCAGCCAGCAACTATCAAGACTCACAACATCATCGAAAGGACGGCCAACTTTGTGTGTCAGCAGGGTGCTCAGTTTGAGATAGTGCTAAAAGCAAAGCAGGCTGGGAACTCCCAGTTTGACTTTCTCCGCTTTGACCACTATCTGAACCCATATTATAAACACATTCTGCGGGCCATGAAGGAAGGTCGATACAACCTTGTCTCTTCTAACAAGCCGGATCAGTCGCAGGGTGAGTTTTAGGAATCCTTCACTACGCTGTGAGGCCCCAAAAAAGCAGACAAAAAACCCTCCCAGAATAAATAAGTAAAAATTCATTTTTTTTTTACCCTGTTCTTTTTTTCTAGGAGAAAAGCTGATTCATCTTAGCAATGGATCTAAAATTATTCATATGCCCTTACATTTATTTATAAATACTTATTACACATCCATTACCAAGTTTCCCTTTAAAATGAACATAAGCTTTTGTAGGATTCTAGTGGCATATATGACCACTTGTGTGTACAACTTATTGGGTTTCTTTTAAATTAGCTGGTTTCCACATTCAGACCCTGGTTTTGAAAGTAATACACATTTTTTAAAGAAAATGGCTTTAGATATTCAAGAGGGAACCCAGGACTTCAGCCTACCACAAACAAGAAATTGCATTGTCAGAGTCAACAGTAAAGCCTCTATTATATGGGCTAATAGGATGTTGACTCTAAGCTCAAAGGAAATCTGCTGCTACCCACAATGTCAATCCCAACTCCTACTGTTATATGATTTGGGATCATAGAACATTTCGAATGCATTATTAAAAGGTCGAAAGTTCAAGATGCATGCCAGTGAAATATGTGTTTGGGATACGTCAGTAAATCCATTCCCAAAGCAATATGCATCAATATTTGATATCCATCACGCACTCAAAAAACAAAATGAGTTCAATGTTTTCTTTCTTAACAACAGAGTCAAGTTCAGAAGATTCTGATGATGATGGAGATGGCAACTACCTTCACCCTAGTCTTTTTGCTCCAAAGAAATGTTCTCGTCTAGAGGAGCTTACAAAGGTAAGCTCAACAAAGCAAGCTTTCAATGTCTGACTCATTGTATTCTGCAATTTTCCTTTTATCTACACACTAAGCATATTTGCATTTTAAAAAAACATTTTGTTATAAGCTCTGAAACTTTTAGATTATTTGAAAAAAATTTAAATATTTTTTCTTTGCCTAGTTTCATTTATTTCTCAGAGTGTATATAAAAGGGATATGGAGCTTTAGGCTACAATTTTAGTGTTCATTGACTCTAAGCTACTTTGTAAACATAAAATCTATGTTCTGTGTACTTTTATTTATATATATATATATATGTATATGTAAATGTGTATGCTCTAGTCTAGATTTATAGATTTATAGACGGATTCCAGCCCCGATTTTTTCAATGTTCTTCTTAAATCTGGGCTTAGTGAGCATTGACAATGGTAGCTTTTGAACCAAACCTTTATCTTGGCAAGAGTCGGCTTTGGAAAAACAAAAGAATTTAAATTCACACATCCTAAAATGTCAGAGAAAGCCTGTCTGACGGTGGTGACAAGCTTGCGCTCTCCCCTTATTTAAAGGCAGAGCTCAAAACTCTTCCACTCTGACTGCAACTTAAAGCTACGGGACCACCTTTTTACACAATGTGCCCCCCATCTTTTCCCTATTCGTCAGTCCCTAAACTCTCCCTTTTCTGGGACAGGTCATGCAAAACAGGCATGTTTGGTCACGTTGTCATTGACGTTCATTTTGTAGCATAAATTGACTGTATTGGAACTTAGCCGCTGAGAAGCACTGCCTACATGCAGTGCAGGTTTTCTGTCTGTGGTGAACGTCATAGCTCACATAGCCAATGAGCTTTGGCTCTTTCTGTTCAGTTTAAATCGAGAGCAACCGGAAACTTCGGTCAGTGACAAATACTGTAACCACAGACTAGTGTATGTAGATATATGTAGATGTATGTGTCTAATTGTTTGATCACTTATTGAATAAAATTATATTGAGAGTGATATTGAATAATTATCCAGCCTTAATAATGGTCTGGTTTGTCTACAGCCTCTTAAGGTCATGGACCCGGATCATCCCCTCGCAGCGATTGTACTAAAGGCTCAACAGGAAAGAAATGGAACAGCACCTGCAGTCGCCCCTCCTGAGGAACCAGCACCCGCTCCCCCAGTCCAGTACTCTGCTGACCGTAAGTCTGCGGACAGAAAAAACACAGTCCAACTGGCATGTATTTTTTTTTTTTTTTCTTTTGTTTTTTTTTTGTAATCTCTATTTTACTTAGCACTTTTAAATTTGGAAAGATTTAAGGACATCTGTGTCAGTTTTGTTTTACTTCTCTGTTCAAGTCTGGGTGAAACATATATGAAGCATTGTTTTTGTAAAAAAAATCTATTTGATCTCACAATATAGTTTTATAACCGTTGGACACACAAGCTACAATACATTTTTGGAGATCCACGTTTATTTCTTTGCCTGTGCAGTTTTGCATTACCAACTGGTAAACAGAACCCTTGAAAGTCTCCTATACTCTTAAGTTGATAAACACTACAAATTAAGATAAATAACACATGTAGATTCAAAGACCCTTAAAATGTAATTAGATGTTCCTCAGTGCATCAATTCTAAGGAAACAAACAATCACTGGACAAAATTGTCCACTGTATAAAACGTAAGAATAGGAAGCTTTTAAAAGTTCTTTGATTTAGTCCAATATTTTAACAGTAACTATATATTGTTTAAACAGTGTAAGAATATTTGTTGCATTTTTGGTTTCAAGTTAAGCAAATCATGTAACCCGTTTTGTACCTTTTTGTCTAAATATTTATCTAAAGGGTTTCCATACCATAAGAATCTCATACTTATACTTTTATAACCCTTTCCCAATCAATTAGCATATTTATATACATGATTTAAGTCTAGTTTCATATTAAAAATAAATTAAGATAAAGTATACAAGCTTCTGCATTTGAAGAAATGAAAGTTATAAATTATTTTACAGTTTAGTTAATGGAAATAATTTTGGTAATTTTAATTGTCCTAAGAAAAAATAAATGTCTTTTTTGTTTTTTGTTTTTTTCCCTAAGTAGCTGGTTTTCACCGTATAAACATATACCGTTTTAAGCTGGTCGGTTTGTTTTCATCTTCTTAACTTGAATCACCTTAGAGCTGTGAAAAGCCTTGCCTTGCCTTCCATTTTAACTTCCCTTGAAAAGGTAATAAGAACACAGCGACTAAGCCAACAATTATGGCATTTGTGTTATTTATAGTGCATTTCTCTTTCTATATCCACTAGTGGATGGATTTTCCCTGACTGGTTTATGCTCTTTAACAAGGTTAAGATGAAAAGCCTGCATAATGCAAGAGGCTGACATGATTCACTACGTTGTCAAATTATTGTCATAGACTCTTCTTGCATCCATTATTATGACTTGAACATCTGACAAACAAACAAAACACCACACAATCACAGCCTAAAGCAAATTTTTGAGTCATCGATGCCCATCTTGACAAAAACTGATAATTATTTTCCACTTAAAGCTATTATTTGGTTGTTTGGACAAGAAAATTAGGTGTATGATTTTTCCATTTAAAAGCATTCAAGCTATTTCTGTATTCAGTAGAGCAAATCTATTGAATGAGCTGACCCGTTTGTCCTTTAATGGGAGTATTTTGGGTTTTTCTAAGATCTATCTATTGAGAACTTAAAAATTATTTAACTGTTTTTTGAACTGTTTTTTTTTTTTGCATTCAATTCCATTCAAAAGTTGTTGGGTTTTTTTTATCCCCAAGGAAAAAATGTTGCAGTGACTTTTCTTTTTACCAATCTATAGATTTTGATATCTATAGACAGTAAGGATTTTTTGTAGTGGTCTGTCTTGCACTAGATCTGGTGAAACCTGTAACTGAAGACATTCTCTTGGTGTTTAATAGTCTACAGAAGAGGATGCTTACTGTTGTGCATAATATTCTTCACATTGTTAAAAACTGTTCTCTTTGAAATCATCTCCAGAGGTTCTAGAGGAGTTCCTTACAAAAACATATTTTCTTTAATCCAACTGTTTTTAATATTCCTTTTTTGTTTCTGCATTTTTTATTTTATTTTATTTATTTTTTATTTATTTTTTTATTTTATTTATTTTTTTCCTACTTGCTTTGATTCTGTTTTATCTTCCTGTATTTTAATCATGTAAAGCACTTTGCATTGTCTTTGTACTGAATTGTGCTATACAAATAAATTTGCCTTGCCTTGCCTTGCCTTAAGACAGAGCAGACATTCTTAATTAGCTTGTGGAGCTTTTTTAAGTCATTAGCTCTAGTACTGTTACCCCAGCAGAGGATAGAAGAAGAGATCGTACTCTCCACAACAGACTTGTAGATGATATGTAGCATCTTGCTGCAAACACTGAAGGACCTAAGCTTCCTTAAGAAGTACAGTCAGCTGAACCCCTTTTTGTATACAGCTGGCAGGTCCGTCTCAAGTCGAGTTTGTTGTCCACACTAACTTTAAGGTATTTATTCTCCACCATCACCTCCACTTCTTCTCCAATTATATTATTAGCATTGTACTTGTTCCTGTTTCTTCTGAAATCTACAGTTACCTCCCTCGCTTTGTTCACATTCAGGTTTAGATGATTGTCTCCACACCATGCTGCAAAGTGGTTCACCAGCTCCCTTTACTCAGCTTCTTGTCTATATCTGATACACTCACTGACTGCAGGGTAATTTTAGTATTTCTGCAGATGAATGGACTTGTGTCTGTGTACAGTTATAAAAATAGTAAGAGTACCGTCCCCTATGGTGCTCCTGTGCTGCTAGCTACTGGATTAGACAATTGACCCTTCAGCCTCACTAACAGTGGTCTGTTTGTCAGGTATTCTTTGATCCAGGCAATTGTCTAAGCCTCCAACTGAGTTTTCGGTAGTTTTTGACAAAGCAAATAAGACTGAATTGTCTCAAATGCACTGAAGAAATCGAAGAACATGATCATCACAATGCATCTTCAACTCCCAACTCTTCAACTACAGTGAAATAAGAATTACATTTGGTGCTTATAGCTGCTTGTTTAGTTGTTCAAATGGACCAACAGGAGTCTTTCTGGACTTTCATGATATAGGATATCAGGCAACATGTATATAGTTATGTAGTTAGCTTTGGTACTGGAACAAGCAGGTTTTCTTTCATACATTTGAACTGTCTCTTGGGTCCCTTTAAGGTTGGAGAGGTGCTGTAGAATCCCACAGAGCTGCTCTACATATGCCATCAGGACTCTGGGGCTAATATCATCTAGACCTTGTGCCTTATCGGGATTCGGTCTCTCCAGTTGCCTCCTCATTTGACTTTTAGAGACATTCACATAAAAGTTGAAGAGAGCAGCACCATCTTCTGATTTGGTTTAGAACAAATGAGGGTATATGGCAGAGGTGGAAGATAAAACGTTCAGGTCTGAGAGGGAAGCTTTGGGTCAAATGAGGTTGGGCTGTCCATTTGTCTCTGGCCATGAGAAAAGGGTGCAGAGCTTATTTCTGAACTGAACCTATTTAAGAATGTATTCAGTATATTTGCTTTGTCATCCATACTTCCATCAGTTTGACCATCCTTCTGCTGAAGGCTCTGATCTTCTTTACTCCCAACTACACACGTCTGACTATGTTTTGCTAGGGCTTCATGTTAATAATTCCCTGTCTACTTCCCTGAAGGTTCTTTTCTCTTGTTTAGCAGTTACTTAATATCACTTGTGATCCAGTGCTTATTAATGGGAAAGCTTCTCATTGTTCTGGTGGGTATAGCGTTATCTACACAGAAGTTTGTATAGTCAGTCCCACACTCAGACATTGCATTGATGTCCTCTCCATGTGGCTGACATAGTGCATCCCCGTCTGCAGCCTCTAAACAATCCCCCCAGACTTCTTCAGGCTCCTGTGACCATCTTTTTAAAAAGCTTTTTAATGCAGGTTTCCTGTTATAAAGGGGCTTATACTCTGAGCAGAGAAAAACAAGATTGCGGTCTCCCAATAGGAGGTCTTACTTTAGAGATTTACAAGTCCTTGACATTTGCATAAAGCAAGTCCTACTTTTTTTTTTTTTTGGTACAGCAGCTGACAAACTGTTGGAATATTAGCAGTTTAGCAGAGTGAGGCCTGATAAAAATCACCAGTTATTACCATAAATGCGTATAATTAACAGAACAATGTAATTGTTAAATGTTTGAAATAATTTTCTTAAAAGGGCATCAAAAAGTAGTGCATAATTATGAATTAAAATAATAAGGATTCATGGTTTTTAGTATTTTACACAAAAAGATTTCACAAAATATCATAGCCCTTTTTACTATAATACCTTTACTTTAATAGTAATGACTTGTCATATTCATAGCAGTTTTTCCTTTTCCATGCAGCTGTCTACTACGGGTATTACATGCTTCCAGATGGCTCATACTGCTTAGCTGCACCTCCACCAGGTGTAGAGGCCTCTTCATACTACAACAATATGACTTCAGCTGTCGCTTCTGCTCCTGCTTCTTCTGAGGCTTCGTCCCAGAGTGAGAGCACCTCAACACCTGCTGTAACTGTCACAGTGGCGCCGCAGGCGACGGCTCCCTCACAGGTTTTTACTCCAGCTGAAACTCCTGCTGTTGCCACTAACGTTCCAGAAATCAGGTAGAGGCGGAGTTTATAGACATCAGCTTTTTTTACTATAATGTTATTTGGCATAGGAATAAACCTGTGTTAGAAATCAGAAGAAAACGTTTTTTTTCAGCTTAAGATGTACTATTGAATAACCCGTTACAACCATACTGACATGGATATACTAAATTTGCTGTACCAGAAATTGTCTGTTGCGTTCGCTATAACTTTTCTGTTTATATATCTAAATTTTCATCCATAGTAACTCTAAAGTTGAAGCTCCAGTTTCAACACCCGCACCAGCCATCATTCCTCCACCACCAGACATCCAGCCAGTCATAGACAAGCTGGCTGAGTATGTGGCGAGGAACGGCCTGAAGTTTGAAGCCAGTGTCCGTGCTAAGAAAGATCCAAGGTAACTGCTTTTATGAGGTAGAAATGTGTCAAACTGATTGTTAATTTAAGGATTACATATTTTTTTGATTATATGGAATAAAAAACATCTTTATTATCCTTTAGTGTAATCTGTGCTTTTGTTTCTGTCTGCTATAGGTTTGATTTTCTTCAGTCTTGGCATCAGTATAACGCCTATTACGAGTTCAAGAAGAATTACTTCTTGCAAAAGGAAGGAAAAGCCTTACCAGAGGTATTATTTGAAAATGCATCTTTATATATTAATCTAATATCTAGAGAATGGGATGGAAAAGAGACCATATTGAAGGTCTCAATCTAAACTTGACAGATTTTTTTATGCAGCTACACTTACATTTCCAGGTTTATTTTTCAAACAAACCCACAAGAACTTGCATGTTTTTTTGCCTCTCTTTTTGGGGTTGTAACAGATTTTGCATGATCATGAAGAGGCATGTTTCTACAGTACAACCTGAACAGTTTTACAGGTTGAACAAATCGATATTATCTTTATCTGCTGCTACAAAGAGGATCACTTTCTCCTCTGGAAGAGGGATTACAGCTTAATCAGAATAAGAATGAAAAAAAGAAATGTAAGTTGATCAAATCAAAATTAATTCCAATTTATGTCTGACTAGTTAAAGTTTAAAACCAGTATCTATAAATAAGTGTGTGTATGTACTGTAGCCATGTTTTTGTTACCCTGTTGAGACAATTTTCCAGTAATATGCTACATCTTCGGGACATATATTTACTTGTGGAGAATAATGACTGGTCCTTCTCTTATTGGAGTGGTGGTTAGGTTAAGGACTAAGGTGTGAATTGAGTTTAGGTTAGGTTTAGGGTTAGGTATGTGTTGTATTGGTTAGGCTTAGGGTAAGGGTCTGGGTTAGACCATAAAAATGAGAGGGAAATGAATGGAAGTTAAAGGAAAGTCCCCACAAGGATAGTGTGACACAAAGTATGTGTGTGCATGTATGATTTTATATGAATTTCATAGTGGATTCTGGTTCCTTTGTAAGATTGAAAAAATAGTTGTCCAAATTAGGTCTGCAACTAATGTTTATTTATCAAATTGATTAATCTGTCGATTTTTTTCCGATTAATTGATTATTAATTGGACGTCTAAAGGTTCTTTAAAGAATTATTTTTACAAAAGTAAACCAGGTGAAACTAAAAGGTTTCCACTCGAGGAGTTCTGGATAGAGCATATTGACAGACAAAAACATTGTTTTAATCTTAAATGCAAAATGTCTATATATATTTTTTACAATTTCGATATAATTACTGCTCTAAGTGGGTTAATCTGTCAGCTAAAGGCATGTTTTACAGTCTGTATTCTCCAGTCAGCGATTAATGGATTACTAAATTAGTTGATTATTTCCATAATTAAGTAATTATTGAAATTAATCGATTTCAATAAATCGATTAATTGATTGTTTTACTGATTTCAACACTTCCATGCTGAAATCTCTTATTTCAGCATGTTATAACCCAAATTATTTGGGTACAGAAAGGAAAGATCCCACACTGTTTACATTAGATAACCGCTACACTTAAGCAGTAGAAATGTTATGAAAGCTGTACAAAATGAAATTTTGTTTTGTATACACTCTGTGTATACAAAATGATAATAAAAGTAGTCCAAGTAAAAATGGTGAGACAATGTATGAGATTATCTCTCAAGGATATATACAGATGACACTTTTAATTGAGATCAATAATCATCTTCCAGTCATATTTTCATCAAGATAATTGTGACAGTAAAATCTGATATTGTTTTTGAGATCTAGCTAAATTGAGTCTTAGACACACTTCCACACATTTTTGGACTGGCACTGTTGGAGCTTATTAAGCAGCCACTTCACCTTTGGTATTTCATACACTGACAGGGCTTTAAAAATATAATTTTAGTTTTGCAGAATCAGCTGTGTTGATGTGTGATGTTGTGTTTTGCTTTGCCAGCGCTCTTTTTGTTACTGCAAAACTGTCCCTGAGACACATCTGCGATTCTGCAGTTCACATATGCTGATGCCGCTGTGCAAAAGAAACAAAACAAATTCTATGCAGTTAAAAAAAAAGAAGGTAGCCTTCGGGGGCTTAACAGTGAGGAAAATTGTTTTAAGTGCAGTTTGTCTATTCTGACCAATAGATCCAGCGTTTGGATTTAGTGGTGATAAAAAAAAATTGGATCTAGTAGTTCTCATAAACATATTATTGTGAACAATGCGAACAGAGTATTCTTATTAAAAAGTTAGTATTTTCACATGAAGAAGTTATTTTGTAAACAAAAAGCCAGAAATGCAAAGAATTTGAACTAAAGTGCTGTACAGGTAGAAATGAATATAAATATTTTTGTTAAAAGATGGAACATAATTATAGAAAAAAAGCTGGAACAGCTGCGTTATACAGGGAGAATGAATGCCAGTGAGCAAATCAGATAATGTGCAAATGATCAAATCAGCTAAAAGGAAAGGCAGAAAGCTTGTTTAACTGATTTTTTATTTTTTTATTTTTTTTAGATTCTTTATATTGTTTGTTAGGTAGATATCAAATAAAAACTATAGGTCGCTCCAGAGCATTGCTATAGCGACATAAAAGGCTATTTCCCTTTGTTTGTAAATCTAGACCTAAGAATGTAAAAAAAAAAAACAAAAAAAATAAAACAGCTTGTTTGACAATCTCAAGGTTTTGGTAAAAGTGTATTTTTTGAAAAGATTTGATATGTGGTGCAGCTTTAGTGAAAAAGATTAAAACTAAGTGACATTTTAAAATTTGTGTAAAAAAAACATTGGAAAATAATCGAAACTAGAGTAATCTGGGCATGTTTTTGTTTTTTTCTTCAGCCCAGCACTAGCAGTTCTAAAATCCTCAGAGTACATTATTATAAAGCAGACATAATTTAGTAAATACCTAAGAATGATACATGTTGCTTCTGCACCTCCAAGTCTGAATGACTGGGCTGCTCGTTGACGTGCTTGCCCAGTTTCAGGTAGGACTTAAACTAATAATTTTTTTTTTTCTGAAAGACCCATTCTAGCTGATGTTTTAGTGGGTTTACAGGATGATAGATAATTTTACAGCAGTAAAAGATGTTCCTGCTAGGTCGGCAATGCAAGTGAATCATACGCTCCTCAACCTCTTCACTGAACAGAGCAATGACAGCCGCACAATGTCCCATTTTTTCCTGCAGCTGCAAACACTCCAAATCTAACCCCTTGACTTCAAGTACTCCTTTATTAAGGTGGATATAATGAATAAGGTGTATAAGGAACGAATTTGGCATGCAGCATCTGAAGTGACATTTTCTGCAAATGGCCAGGTAGAATTATGATGAACCAGGGATACACCTCTTCCATCTTTTCCACAGACGGGGAAAAGATGCTTGCAGACAGAATCTCAAATGTCTCACAAAGCCCAATGTTCATAAAATTACTAATCACACAGATATTTTTTCATCACACACACATCAGTCCATCAAAGTGTCTAGTGGCTTACCTATACATCCATTGCTTTATTCTTTATCTGACCTTCCAATTGTTCATTGGTTTACCAATAGCTCTATCTCCCCATTGATTTATCAATGTGTTTTTCAATCCCTACATCCTCCCAGTATTGATTTATCCATCAATCTTTTTAGTTTATCAATCTGTTCCTCACACTATCCGTTTACTGTTCAACATTTCATCCAGTGACTCTCAATCTTTCAATATCGTTGCTAGTCGTTCTGTCTATCAATTTTATAATTAATTCATCAGTTTATCCAATACGTATTGTTCATCTGTACAGTAGTACATTTAATGAGTTTTTAAAAGAACCCCCTCAAATGGTCTCTCTCTCTCCCTGTCCCTGGAAAGATGAAACTGGTTTGTGTTCAAACTTATTTCTAAAGGCCAAACTTAACTTTTATGAAAGTTTGCAAAGAAATGAATATTTAAGCAAAAGGAAGGCCTCTTTCATCAAACATGTTCTCATACTCTACCATTTGCCTCTGGTCTCGCTTCCCCTCTTAGTGAAATTCCCTGTGTTCCTTGACCTATGGCTCTGAATGTCCCATTCCTTAGCTTAATGGAGAGAGATTATATCTGCATATTTGTTTGAACTGGTCTCTGTGTCTCTGCCCGGTGACAAAAACATGACAGACATTTTAAAATTAAGGATTTATAAGTTGTTGAATAAAACAGCAACATTAAATTATTAAAAGAATGTTAATAAATCTGATATCCTTCAAAACCTTAGGCTAACTTTTCAAAAAGTTATAAAATCCATTACATGCTGGATAGGAACACTACTCTTGATATTCTTATGTCAGGTAAAAATGTTACTTTCTGTATTTGTATAGATTTTTTTAAGGGTTAATCCTTCGAGTTCTTACATCCTCTGATTAGTGAAGATTTGGAGGTTTTACCCTTAACTTGAAAAAAAAAAATCTAATTTTATCAAATACATTTAAGTTCTATTAATCAGTTTTAACATTGTTTTGAAAAAAAGTTCATATTTTTTGCTTGTTGGACAATACAATTCTTAGTTCAAGTTAATGTGACCTAAATATTTTTAGGGTCAGAATAAACTTCCACATATGAATTTGTCTGTGTAAAGCTTTTCGTGTATCTCAATGCTACTCTGCAGTAAACTAATGATTATATTTTTATTTATAAATAAAAAATATATATATTTTTTTATTTACATCTTATCAAGAAAAGTTGGAATTGTTTGATGTGTAAAAAACCTTGAATTCAACCATTTCTGTTTTTTGGTTTAGATTTGTACAATATTTCTACATTTTATTGCAGATACCGCTGCTTTTAGTCAGTGCTGGTATTTTTTATTTTATTATTTTCCCAAAGGTGAAGACCACCCAGCTAAGGAAAGCTAACCTTCTGGTCTGAGAGTTTACCCTCTGACCTGTTTGAGACAATCTTCAATTTTTGAATCAAGTCTCCCTAGAATGTTTCTGTTTCCTCCCACTCGTTTACCTCTGAGCTTTGAATTTACAGCTCTCTGAAAAGGTCATTTTCCAGGTCAAACTGATTTTATTCACTAACCATTGACAGCATAGATCACAAGCAACCAGTACTGCTTTCAAATGTGACTTAAACTTTCTGAAATGTATCTGAAGAGGCAGTGTCTTTTGGCCTTTATCATCTTTCTTTTCCTATCTCACCCCATTTACCACTAATAATGGCCAGATATTTAAGCTCATCATATTTAGTTGTATAGTGTGGCATGAAAAATGTTTCGACACATACAGTGCCTCACAGAAGCGGGTACACTCCTCACATTTATAAAATTTGATGTTACACCTTTTCATGAGACAACATCTAAATATTACACTTCAGTAAAATATAAAAAAGCCAATGCACAGCTTAAGTAGGAGTGTAAATCACATCTAAACTGTGCAGATGATAGTAGAACCTTAATATGGAATGTCTGAATTCTGTTAAACTAGCCTTTAGGATGTTATTTGACTAATCATTTTTTACTTTTGTGAATGAGAAACAGTTTTGTTGAATATGGTCTATGGCTTTAAAACAGTCACCTAAATTTAAAGAAGACCCCAGGAAAAAAGACGACCTAGGGTAAAAGAAATTTGCCAAAGCCCTGAAACTGAGCTTGGCGCAGTAGCCAATAGGAAAGTTTCCACTCAGAGTGGAGGAGGAATGCAAGGTCTTAAAGATCCACCATTTAGAAGGGTTCTCATTTTTGTTACTGATTTCTCTTATTTGACCTGACAGTTAAGTTTGACCTTGATACAAGCTGTACACTGACTGCTTCACACTATGTCAAATTGTCATAGCTCTAGTTTTCTCCCAAGAAAAAACCTTTTAGGAAACAAATTTTCAGAAAAATGCAATGGGTGTACCTAGGGCTGGGCGATATAGAAAAAAAGCTTATCGATAAAAAAAAATGCATATTGATCGATATCGATAATTATTGAAAAGATTTGAAACCATATTTTATGTGCAGCTCTGCCTGGACTTTTTATAATATTGCTAAATGATTTAATTTTAATAAAAAACACAAACACAGACTTCGAATTAAATCTTTATTTAACCAACTTTTTTAACCATAACAGAATTGTTTTAAAGAAAAATAACTTAAGAGACCTGAGTTATGTTATTAAATACTGACAAAGAATAAACTAAAGTGACCAAAATAAATATAACAAATAAATAAATGCCCCCCCACCGCCGCTGCCGCCCCCATTTCCTGCTTTAACCTGAGTTATTACTTTGAAGTTTCTGGCCCCTCAGCATTTTTATCTCAATTGTTAGAACTACGTGGGAAACTGCCCAGAACTGAAAATATATATATATTTTCAGAAGATTCCTCGGAGGAGACCCGCGTCGGGGCCTACACAGCTCGTACTCCTGCAGGTGTGAGCGGCTGAGATGATAAAAAAAAAAAAAAGTTGGTTGTGTTATCAGACTTCGTTTTCACTGGTTCCCGACACATTTTCCAGATGACTTTGGTTTGTTTTTGGTCCGACTTGCCATGACCGAAATATTGCCAGACTGCCGAACTACAAAAACCTTTCTTTGAAACAATTTCCTCCGCCTCTCCTTGCTGCGACATCTTCATGTGCTCTGTGTTGTGGTTTCAGAGGGCGGCGCTTGGTGACGGCGTGCCTGGGTCCGCGATTGTGATTGATTGGGAGGAAGCAGTGGCTAGCATAAACCTACATGCTAGGCTACAATGAGAAGGAAGGAAAACTGCGTTTCTTTTTTATCGAACTTTTATCGACCCTCTTTTTTTCTATTGCGCCACACGTCTATCGATCGATATATATCGTTATTGAATTATCGCCCAGCCCTAGGTGTACCTACGGTTCCTAGATGTTAGGTTAAGACATTAGGTATGATTATTGTTATGTTGACTGGTTGTTAAAATACCACTTCCTTGTTATATTACATTATATTGAATATAATTATACGCTTTAGGTAAAAAGATTACTGTGCTACAACATCCTCATTGTTAACTTAAAGTATTTTTTGTTAGATGGGCTGGTCATGTGTCTGTTGTGGGGAATGTGGGAAAAAATGGATTTGGCGATATGTTGTGATTTTCAGCTGCTCATTAAACTCGATCTTTCAGTACCTAATATAGATTTAAATCTTTTTTATTTTTTATTTAAAACAATGAGGAAAAAGGGCTGCCTCTGCACCCCCACTCTGATAGACGGCACCACGAGTCCCTTTTGCTGTGCGGCGCAGTACCATTACTGTAAGTTGAGGCAGTCACAGTGGAAGACGTGGATCAAACCCCAAATTACATGGCTTCTGATGAACATCTACAGAACTTGTCTTCTTACCTAAACATTTCTTTGTTGCTGGGTAAAATATTGCAATATATAGTGATATTGCAATATCGTGATAATACTGTATCGTGATCATATGATATCGCAACACACATGCAAAAAACTCACCCTTTGTCAGTTGACATGGTAAAGGCCCAGAAAATGCAGCCTCATCAACCATTGAGTAGCTAAAAAAGAACATTAGAGTTATACATTAGGCAAGCAAGACAGTAACCTTATTCCTATTGAACATGTCCATTGGGAGCTAGATCTTTAGTTTGCCAAATAGCAGCAAAGAAAATCATTGAAAGTGTGTAATTGGATAAGTGGGTCATAAACCTATCTGAGATGTTAGAACTCTTGATGAACTACAAGAAAAAGACTGCACCTTTCCTAACAGAAGTTTCCCTGTCCATTACTCTAAGTCATATTTGGCAAAATGATTAAATGCTTTTTTTATTCAGTTACATGCATTTAAATCGTAACTTGATTACAATTTGGAAATAGAGTTTTCAGAGATGCCTGACCAATTACTTCATCTTCAATTAAAATTTAATTACCTGAATAATGGGGATTTTTATTTCTTTAAATGTATGTACTCCTGACAGTTATTTTTTTTAGTTATTTTATAATAGTCAAGAAAAAAAGAAATACACTATATTGCCAAAAGTATTTGCTCACCTGCCTTGACTCACATATGAGCTTAAGTGACATCCCGTTCCTAATCCATAGGGTTCAATATGACGTCGGTCCACCCTTTGCAGCTAGAACAGCTTCAACTCTTCTGGGAAGGCTGTCCACAAGGTTTAGGAGTGTGTTTATGGGAATTTTTGACCATTCTTCCAGAAGCGCATTTGTGAGGTCGCACACTGATGTTGGACGAGAAGGCCTGGCTCTCAGTCTCCGCTCTAATTCATCCCAAAGGTGTTCTATCGGGTTGAGGTCAGGACTCTGTGCAGGCCAGTCAAGTTCATCCACACCAGACTCTGTCATCCATGTCTTTATGGACCTTGCTTTGTGCACTGGTGCACAGTCATGTTGGAAGAGGAAGGGGCCAGCTCCAAACTGTTCCCACAAAGTTGGGAGCATGGAATTGTCCAAAATGTCTTGGTATGCTGAAGCATTCAGAGTTCCTTTCACTGGAACTAAGGGGCCAAGCCCAGCTCCTGAAAAACAACCCCACACCATAATCCCCCCTCCACCAAACTTTACACTTGGCACAATGCAGTCAGACAAGTACCGTTCTCCTGGCAACCGCCAAACCCAGACCCGTCCATCAGATTGCCAGATGGAGAAGCGCGATTCGTCACTCCAGAGAACGCGTCTCCACTGCTCTAGAGTCCAGTGGCGGCGTGCTTTACACCACCGCATCCGACGCTTTGCATTGCACTTGGTGATGTATGGCTTGGATGCAGCTGCTCGACCATGGAAACCCATTCCATGAAGCTCTCTGCGCACTGTTCTATAGCTAATCTGAAGGCCACATGAAGTTTGGAGGTCTGTAGTGATTGACTCTGCAGAAAGTTGGCGACCTCTTCGCACTATGCGCGTCAGCATCCGCTGACCCCGCTCCGTCAGTTTACGTGGCCTACCACTTCGTGGCTGAGTTGCTGTCGTTCCCAAACACTTCCATTTTCTTATAATACAGCTGACAGTTGACTGTGGAATATTTAGGAGCGAGGAAATTTCACGACTGGATTTGTTGCACAGGTGGCATCCTATCACAGTTCCACGCTGGAATTCACTGAGCTCCTGAGAGCGACCCGTTCTTTCACAAATGTTTGTAAAAACAGTCTGCATGCCTAGGTGCTTGAATTTATACACCTGTGGCCATGGAAGTGATTGGAACACCTGATTCCAATAATTTGGATGGGTGAGCAAATACTTTTGGCAATATAGTGTATGTATGAATAAATAATTCTACCTCAAACTGTCAGATATTAGAATAGCATTCAACTTTTTGTTAATGATGCCCAGACTCTATTACAGAAATATCGCAGCACTGAGAATTCACTCAGAACTCTCCTTTTATGCTTTCCACATTGCCTCTTTCTTTTCCGGCAGACTTTTTAACCCTACATTTAAATGGAACCCTGCATATACATAATTATAATGATTAAATATAATGGCTGTAATTTTAGGGTACCAATGAAACGAAATTACCCATTTTAATATTTCATTGCCATCCATTTGTGATACTGCATAAGAGGGGAAGCATTGATGCATCCAAACCGTTGCAGGTGTCATTCTTAACTTTATACCAGTTGGTGATTGGCAGATTTTTTTGTTACAGATTCAGGGGTTTTAAAACCTTTTCCACTGAACATTTCTTCATACTACTGGTGCACGTCAAACAATGCATCACGTGAGAAATGAATGCAGGTTTTGTTGAAAGCCTCTTTTCCAAAGCTATCTGCCACTTGTTGGATCCATCATAAAAAAAGTGCATTAGGTTTTGATGGAGGTGTTTTGGCCTCTGCTGCATTTCACCAATCTGCATTTGAACAATTTAAACTGATGTAATTTTAATTCTGCTTTCACTTTCAATTCATCTAGTTTGAGTCTACAAATGAAGATGGGCTCCAATCAGACAGCTCGGCCAACGATGCCCAGCTCAATAAAGGTAATTTACTGTCACAAAACATACAAATGTATTGTTCTGCAGTGTCTTTTGGGTACATTTTGGCCTGTTACAGCCACCACTATATTTAATTCAAAACAAAGTTGTGCTGGAAGTAAAAACTATTTGGTGTATTCTAGGGCTGCAACAACGAATCGATAAAATCGATAAATATCGACTTTTAAAAGCGTTGGCAACGAATTTCATCATCGATTAGTTGTGTCGCGCGATTAATGCGTCATCTGCCGCCGTCGTCATTGCCGTGGGGCGCCTCCCCCATCCCAGCCCCGCTCCCGCAGGAGTCCCTCTCGCCGCTGCAGTCAGAGGATGTTTACCCTCAGCGTCCAGACTGCAAATGAAGCGCGCATGCGCCGGGATTGACAGCGCAAATTGATCACAATAATTAAAATAGCCTGCGCTTTGTAAAGGGAAAAAAGTCGTAACATGCAACTTTTGTAAAAACAAATTAACAAGGCGCGGAACCACCACTGTTATGATGCAGCACCTGAAAAGGAAACACGTTGGAGCCTTCAATGGCAGTGAAGAGAGCTGATCAGCAGGCTGAGAGACCATGTTTGTTTCGTTTTAAAGTGGGGAAACGTAACGTTAGTTTCTTAGGTAGCTCATTTGATGCTTTCCTTACCTTGTAAGTAGGTTACAGACAGTGATAAGGTTGGCTACTTATTTTACTTTTAATTTCATTTGAATTAGCTTAAGCAGCGTTTACATTTTATTTATAAATAAATTAACTTGCAAATTATGAGGGCAAGGCTTTTAAAGTTTAAATCTTCTGGCCAAGATAAAGTAAAGAAGATCCTGCAATTTATGGAAGTAAAGCAGAATAAAATCCAGCAAGATCAGTAATATGTCAATTAATTATATGCCACATTCCCATGTAAATATCTGTCTTTGGAGGATGTGTTTTTTAGCACCCCTAGTTCTCTCATTTTTATTCCAAATACAATTTATAATTTAAATCACAGGGCTATTTTTATCTCTATGGTTCAGTATTTTCTCAAGTAGCAACTTTAACTGCTATACTTTCCTGTCTTAAAAGGCAGAACTCTTCTAGTCTAAAAAAAACTCATTTGTTGAAATGGGGGGGCTATTGTTTGAACCCCTTAGGTGCTTTTAAAAACAAAAATGTCTTTTTTTGCGCTTTATGAAACAAAGTACCCTATATTTTGTGGATGTACTGCTACATTTCTCATGTAAGTTTGCGTAGTTTTAACACAAACATTTATTTTTCATATTGCACCAGTACAGTTAATGAGCAACCTGTACTTGTGTGCTAGTTTGTTCTGTCTAAAATGTTTGTTTTGGAAAAAAGAGGTTAATATAAAAAATATTTTTTGTCCGATTCATCGATTAATCGAAAAAATAATCGTCCGATTCATCGATTTTTAAAATAATCGTTAGTTGCAGCCCTAGTGTATTCATAAGCTTGGTGTCCGTATGTGTTATGCATCCATCAGAATAGTGGCAAACACAAAGAGAATAGACAAACTAAGATAATACTTTAGTTCTGCTAACTACATGAGTTTATAATGCTTCTCAATTAGTTTCAAGATCCCGGAGATTAAGTTTCAAATATCTGTCCAGTGCCTCATTCATCTCCAGTAGTTTTAAATCAGGAACCAATGAGAATTGTGGGTTTGGCAAGGGGATAAACTTGGTTAAAAAAAAACCCAAAAAAACAGCTCTTCAGTCTTAAGAAGTTTACACACACAAGTTTACAATCAGCATAATGTCATCTTTGACTATCTGATTAAACGACAAATAATACTAATAAAATGATCAACAGAAACTCATACAGGCAACAATATACTAAAGACGGCAAATAACTTTTTACTGAATATATTTGGATTGTTGAGTTTGGCATTTCCCTAACATAAAATTCCCACAGGTTTTGTTCTCCAACTTTAGCTCTATAATGTGAAACAACAGTGCTTTTACATTGCATTTTAATTTGGAAAATATGATCTAAACATTGGGATCCTCTCTTCTGCTGAATGTCTACAGAAGGCTGAATACAAACGCATTGCTTAGATTTTTATTGTTAAGAAATGTAAAAAAAAAAAACTATAATTTTCTTATGATCTACTTTGAGTTGGACTCTCAGAAAGTCCCAATAAAACCGATAGAGATTTGTGGCTGTAATGAAGCAAAATGGAAAACAGCTGTGAATATGTCTGCCATGCACTGTATACGTTATACACTTCGATAAAGCTTTTATTGTTTTAATAGTGTGCTTTTGCAAAACTAGATGCAAGGCCCTATAGCCTCTGTATATAACCGTGCTTATTTACTTTAATGTCTATAAGCTGACATTTATGCACAAGCACCTATGAATGTGGTTTTTTACATTGACAATTTTATTTGATGACGTTTGGGAAACAAATGTCTATGCAAGAGCAGCCTGCTTAGTTCTGTGTTGGCAGGAGCCATAAACATGCACAGGCGCTGTATGGAAATGAGGTATCCATGTAGACTGATTATTGGGATGCGACTGATCATGAAGCAGGCGAGAGGAAACTAATATCAAGGCAGAAAAAAAACACAAAGAAGTAAACTATCCAGCTCTCTACAATAAGGATCTGGGTCCTATATTAAGGATATTGCCTCAGGGAACAAGGCGCACAGTCTTCTTTCATCTTTGCTAGAGAAAACTTACTTGGTAATGAAATAGAAATACATCTCATCCTTCTGATTCAACGGCCTGATTTTTCTTTTTCTCTCTATGATTGGCTATTTATGTTTGTCTAATAAAGGCCAGAGTTCCTTTTTCTCATTCTCTCATTTTGAGTGCTCTCGGGATCTTTTATCCTTCACCTGATCTTTTACTTTACTTCTCTTAGATCTGCTTCACTGAATCATAGGCTTGGATCCTGAAATCTGCACCCTTTTGGGTCTTTCAAAATCACTGTTTAACCTTTGTTTTTTTTTGCCCGCACAGCCTCTTTTGCCCCCATCTCTTTTGCGATAAAACCAAAGGACACTGACATGCTTCCCTTCGAGAAGAACAGAGTACGGCTGGACGATGATTCAGACGAGGACAAGGTCTGATTTTTATTTACTTTTATATCCCATCCATAATTCAAATTAAGTGTATTTTAATATTAAATGAAACTAATCCTCTAAATTACAATTTAAACACATTTTGAATTGATTAATGTATTTTTTTTCTGGAAGTTGTTGGAAGAGCAGGGGCTGGATGCTTTGATGGTTGGAGCTGTAACGGTGGAAAAAGAACCTTCTCCTGCCATTGCACCTGAAGAAAAGAAACCTGCTCTTACTTTAGAAGAGCTGGAAGCAAAACAAGGTACCTGAAAAGCAAGCTGAAACTATTATACCATGCTTTACTATATTTCATCATTACTTCCAACATAGAAAGAATATGACTCATGTCCTGGATCTGCATGTCAGTTGTCTGTAGTTATCTATGTCACTTGTGCACATTTTTCCTAGTTTCCAAATTTTCCCCTTGATTCTGCATGGATACGACACTTCATTTGCTTGTAGTTGATTTATTTACCATCCTAAGTCACCTGAGGACTGTTGCATCCTTAATTTAATATACTAAATATATATAAACATTCCAGGTTTTTATTAGTTGGCCAGTTTTGATCACTGCATCTAATAAAACCAGAAGAGATGCATAGTCGGCTGTTCTTAAACTCATCACCTCAGGTATTATACAAATGTACAAAGAATGAAAAGGCAAGCTATCAACAAAGACATAAACTTCACCAATTTCCTGTGACTTGAATTCATGTCGTCCTTTTTTTGGTGCTGTAAATTGAAATGAAACTACATTTTTGTCTCCATGTATATCTGATTTTTCTGATTAAAATCTTGTAAGTACTTTCCCCAAATGCCCTTGTGTCTCTAAAGACACGAATATTTAGCATATTATTGTAGTTTAAGATTAGACTTAAACCATCATAATCTCTATTTGACTGGAAAGACAGATGTTAAAGTGAACCTTAAAAGACAGATGGACAGTCAAAGACAAATGTGCTACGTTTCAGCATCAATGAGGTTGTCAGGTTCCTTTAGGTTCACTGGAATCGTTTAAGAATCTAATGGCTTTTTTTGAAGCTGTCAGGCGGCCAGAGAAAGAGACTAGAGCAGCCTAATAAAAAGCTGACTGAATTGCTTTAGCTGTGCAGCAAAGTGGCTGTCAGTCAGTGGGCCTAACTTGATCAGATAGAATAGAGATCAGTAGCAGACAACAGACACTTATCTGTGGTGATGGCTTGAAAAAAGGCCACCCGCATTAAATGCGGTTTGTGATAAACAAACTAGAACGGCAAGCATTTCCCAGTAGATCTTGCTGTTTCGATTTTGTTAACAAATATTATCATGTATTGATTTCTGAGTTGAAGCAGGAATACAGCCTCATAGAATTTTAATTAAGTCGGCATTTTGGGGTTATTTTAAGTAGTTAACAGCTGACAATTTTGGATCTACTCGAAGTATCATCAAAATAGATGTTACAGTGACTTCAAGGGGCCTAATGTGGAGAGATTATTTTTTGCTACCTTTTATGTTTCCTTAAGTTGATGTTCCCATCTTGCAGAATGCTATTTGTTTAATATAAAATAAATACATACACACGTACCTGACAGATTAAAATCTGAAGTAATATTTCTATTTTACCCAAACACTTTTTTTTTAGTTTGTTTCAAATATTTTTTTTCCTTCCTAAAACATTGAACTTGATCAATGCAGCTATTTAGTAAACTCACGTGTTATTCTTGTTGATTATATTTAATGCACAGTAGTAAACTATGGTGCTAGGCTAATGCTAACTCTAGGGTTCATTGACAGTTTCATGCATTTATAGTAAATCATGCGGACAAAACATGCAGAGAGTTTTGCTCTCCTTCTTTATAAATACAGTGCTTTGATTAAAAAATATTGTATATGTATTAGGGCCAGGTTCTTGATTTTGACTAAATAAATTAGAAGGATTTAAAACCTTTAAAACTTAGACAAATCCCCTATCCAGTCCACATCAGACCAGATTTTGAGCTTTCCTACTTAAGGCTAATGAACTCATTAAACTTTTTTTTTTTAAGTCTTTTTTTAAACAGGTTTAATAAACAGACTTGAATTATTCTAACTTTTACCCAATCTGATGGTTAAGTAACCTAAAAACTTAGACTGAAGCTCTGATAACTATTTGTGTTGAGATTAAAACTGACCCTGCATTTAAAAGTTCTAAGCAAGTTGCACCTCTAATATTTAAAAAGAAGTGCTACAACTGTTCTCTACACATCTTTTCTACACCAATTGCTGTCTGGGGTTATCTGAGCACAGGTGATGGAACAGATCACATGACAAATACAGAGGAAACGGCAGCAACCATTGCAGTTTTTCTGGGACCCAAAAGATTTTCTAAATGCTTTAATGCAGCCTCTGTTCTTTCCCAAAGGCAAAAAAATGCAATCATAAAACAAGAAAACACCTCATTATCCACGAATTTCATCCACATCTCATGGAGGTCTGTTTCCATTGGATTCGTTTTTCAAAAACCGTTTATGGTCCCTTGGTAAAACTGATAGCTTTGTGGTGTGTGCTTATGTATTTTTTATTTATTTTTTATGAGTCGTGTTATAGCTCTATGCTTTGGGCTACGTTCACACTGCAGGCCTTAATGCTCAATTCCGATTTTTTTGCGAAATCCGATTTTTTTAAGTTGCCGTTCATATTTCCAAATATATGCGACTTGTAAGTGATCTCTTGTGTGAACTGCAGTCATACAATGCAAGTGTCCCGCAATGACGTCACAGGCCAGCGTGCTCTTTTTTTCCGGAAGTAAACATGGAAGGTAGCGCCGGCGCGCATCTAGCAGTCTTTTCCAACCATAAAAACACATTCTTTTCAATATGGTTGAACGTTAATACTGCTATCCGCATCATCATCTGCCATGGTTGTTGTTTTTCTTGCCGCTTCTGCGTAGCAAGACGCATAATGGTGACCTTTGTCGCGTATTAATGATGTTCAGGTCGGATGAATCCGACCTTGCTGTTCAGACACAGGTCACATTTGAAAAGATCAGATTCGGATCTGATTCAGGACCACATAGCCAAGTGGCCTGGGTCGCATTGGAAAAAATTGTATCTGTGTTGTTCAGACTGCCATGAAAATATCAGATCCAGGTCGCATATGGGCCACCAAGCTACAGCAGTTTCCAAGCCGCTTGGCACTAAGCAACAAGATTGTCAGACAGCTCAGCCTTTGATGCTCCTCGCTTGTCTACCAATTAGCCACCATGCTAAATAAAAAAAACTAGAAACATGGACTCTTAGGGGTCGACTTGATCAGTTAAAGCTATGTTCCCTATATTACTGCATCCATTGCACTAATATGGGATTGTTAAGAGTTGACCTGATAATTTACTGGGAATAATATGCATGTGAAAAGGGTGCAAAATCTTGTTAGACCTGTGAATGTGGTCGCAGTATATTACTGGGACGTGTGTGTGTGGAAGGGGCTTTAGATACTGAATTCTTCTCTCATTTTTCAACAGTCCATATATTATTATGCATGTATGTGGTAAAAATTCTGAAAATACAGTAGTGAGACAAATGTGGGCCAGCATTGTGTTGTCATTGTCTGTGGTGCAGATGGGTTTTGCTTGTCTTGGCTGTTGTTCGCGTGTGATTTGCTCAGCAGCTGGCTTATTTTTAGCTCTTAAGAGATTCCTGTATCCCCAGTGGTTGCATAACCTAAAAAAGCTACATTACGGTTAGCTTTTACTTCATATATTATTATTCTACATCAAGCGTTCTTCATTTTCATCTGCTTTCAGCTCCTTATTTTTTTGTTTTTGTTTTACTCTCTAATTCAAGCTTGCTACTTTCTGTTTTTCTCTTTCTCCCATCTACAAAAAAGTAGATATTTTTCCTTACATTCTGCCCAACATATCATGTCTCTTACGCCAACGCTTCCCTAACTTAAAATACCTTCTGTATAAATCCTGAACTGCAGAAAATGATGTATCACCCAAGATACAATTGAGTGTTGCAGTTTTTGTAGGAAGTGTGTCAATCTTTAGCTGTTGTAAACTTAGAAAATTGCCTGAAATTACTTGGCTTGTAGGTTTTACTAAAGGTGCTTTTGCTGCCTTTCTTTCCTCTTTCTTGTTTGCTTTGTCTAAATATTTTTCCTCCCCGCTTTCTTTCTCTTTCTTGACAAATGTATACTTTTTAAATAACCAAATGTATCTTTCACCCAATTTTAGAATATATCTGTGGTCGACACAAAATGGGGGAATGACCACAGTCTAAACATTTCTCCTGTTCATCTCATTGCCTTCAGCCAAGCAGAAACTGGAGGATCGTCTCGCAGCTGCAGCTAGGGAGAAGCTGGCCCAGGCATCCAAGGAGTCCAAGGAGAAACAGCTGCAGGCGGAGAGGAAGAGGAAAGCAGCGCTCTTCCTGCAGACGCTTCGCGGCCCAATCGCTGGGGAGCCTGAGGCCAAGAGAGCAGAGTTAGAGTCATATACACAACAAGAGGTAATAACACGTGTCTTCATGGTGTTTTTCATCTTAAAATCAGAATGGAAACCATCAACACTCACTTAGAGTTTATCTAAATTCAAGAAATAGTTAAATTGTAATTTTTTTGAATTTGACACCATACAGGAAATGTTTTCCCTTTTTTAACCTTGTTCCTTCCCACCTCTACCTTTTGTATCCTCAGAGAATATAATGCTCTTTTCCCACAAGATTAGTTCCATTACATCCATTTTTTACTATAATATCTGTATACATATCTCTACACAAACTTTGGGAAACCATTTTATAGTTATCCCACTCATTTACTATTTTGAAAGCCCACTGGATCCTCATCCAGCAGTTTCTTCATTATTTCTTCTTCTGTGTTTCAAACACCTGATTAATATTTATCTTAGACTCACAAAGATTGTGCCTAAAATTTTAATCATTTGCCAGCTGTGTACGGACAGTGTTCAATGAAGATTTCCTTTATTTTGAATAATGTTTGGTGCAAATTATTCCTTTGAACTCTTTTAGGCTTTTTTTTATGTTTAGTAAAGCAATTCTGCAATGTGAGAGTTTTTTGCACTTCCTGCACTGTGGGGTTTTTGCAGTCTTATTGCATGACACTGTGTGACATGGATTTGATCATCTTTGTCATGAGATCATATTCAGGTGTGCAAATTTAACTGTCACAGTTTACTAATAAGACTCTTATGACTTGATTGTCATCACTTACCTGGTGTCAGGAAGTGTTTGCCGTTCAGTAGAGCCCAGCTTATAGGCGGTGAAATTAAAAACACTCGGAGCAGCTTCAGGTTGTAGCCGGCTGTCCGTTGGACTGCTTGCTTGCCAAACTTAAGTCTTTTACTTTACATAGTTTCCAGAACGGTTGTTCTGTGAGGTAGAAGGGATGGTCAGAACCCCGGCTCTAAAACCACCTCTTCTCTCCTTCCTACGGCTCAAATCAGACGGGGAAAGGGCTCAAAGGCATTAGCAAAGTGATTTAGATTCTTAAGTGTTATTTCAGCTTCCTCTTACCAAATATATACCAAATATTTTAAATGTTTTTTAAACGTGATCTATCACCAGTATATCCAATGTAATCAATTGCTAGAGCTAGCATTAATCAACCCTGTGACATCACCGTTCGAAGGTACGGCAACATGGCCGCGCCCCTTACCAAAAAATTATAAAACAAAGCTTTGTTTTTTTCTTTTATGTTTATATTTTTAATATAGTTATTGAAAATAGTAAGACACAATGTTTAATTAAGTTAGCTTGGTAGAACGTTTCATTTCCCCTTTAAAGGTATTGTGGAGGATTTTTCGACTCGCCCTCTCCACTTTAAATAAAATGCACAACCCTGTACCCATTCTCGAGAGCGAACACCTATTAAACGCATGCAAGAGCAGCACAAGTCCATTTCTCCTCATGCACGTTCTTTAAAAGTTGCTGTGCCCACCTCCTCAACTGCGCGGTGCCTGAGCCATCTTTGTTATTAGTTGCCGCTGTCAGGTAGCAACAGAGGGTCGCTGGGACAGAGAATCCCATAATGCTTTGCAACGAGAGCGCTCTGCGCGAAGCATTCCCAGATGTATCTGCCTCTTGTGAGGTCTTTCTTTTCATCTCATACACTTAGTAGACAGTTTTTCTCTTATGACCCTCGGCCATTTTCAAAAAAAAAAAGTGAGAAAGGCGAGCCTCAATGACTGTAGCTTAACCCATATATGCCTGAAAGTGCGCATGCGCAGGAAAAGACATACTCATATCACCAGAATGATTGACAACTAGGAGGACCAATTATTTAGATGATTCACCTGTAAAAACAACATCCTCACCTAAACCTTTAAGTGCTATTCTGAAACAAGTCACATCCACACTATGAGACACAGTTTAGAGTTGTGTGGCAGGTGGTCAGTCTGCTGTTAAATTAAAAGCAGTCAAAGAAAACTTGAGCTCGATGTGATCAGCTTCAATGTAAAACAAATTCAGATTTCTGAAATTAGAACTAATTGAAAACCAATGACCTTTCATAAAATAAAGCTCTGTTCTGTTTCTGAAGCACTAATATTTTATACTTGACAGCAGGTAAAGCCAGAAGGCTAATGAGAAAATCTTAATCTAATTTGTTTTTAGGTAGTGGCCATGGATGCTTAAATCTAGGGGTAGTTTCTTAAGAAAGGCATTAATATTTCTCTTTCAAGTATACCGAATAAGACACTTTATACTTTTTTTCAACAAAATGCCTGAATATTCAGTTTAGGTTATATGTGCAGTAATATTATGGAAAACGTCTAATTTAATGATTCCCAACTAACAGAAAAACCTGTGCAGAATAAACTTTAATTATTATGGCTCAATACTGTGGAAACACTTTTTGGCAATCTGTAGGCAGTTTGGAGTTTTTACATTTGTAGGAGTATACGTATCTTTTGTCGTGTTTTTGATTTCCATTTATTAGAACTCATATTTTATTTCGTTAGTTGTTTATTACATTCCTTTTTGCTGTTCATATTTTTTCCTAAGGTTTGAAATTTTATATTTTTCTTTTATTTTCTGTTTTTCCCCCTATATTAACAGTTTTTTTCATAGTTTTCTTGTTTATTTTTTACACAGTAGTCCATCCTATTTTTAACCCGATCACAGAATAAAGGTATTGTGGAGGATATCCTACAATTTTTTAAAAGACCCTCCCTCTCCACTTTAAAAAGTGCATGCTTTCTCCTTGTGCAGGCTGTGTTTAAAAGTTGCCATTCTCATAGCTCATACAAGCTTACTGTGTCCAAACATTCACCCTAAATCCCTTAATCGCTATATAGAGCGGGAACTAAATAGTGGACTTTATAGCTAACTCAGTTAACTGACCATTTAGACAGATGATCACTGCTTCTTGCGGTGATCATTGCAAAAAGCAGTTGGTCTTGTAACTCCTCCTCAACTGCGCGGTGCCTGTGCCATCTTTGTTATTCGTCGTCGCTGTAGGGTAGCGGCAGCCTATGGCGATAGCGGGCCGTTGTGACGGCAAATCCCATAATGCTTTGTGACGAGAGCTTTCAGGGCAAAGCATTCCAGGATATATCTGCCTCTTGTGAGTCCTTTCTTTTCATCTCATACACTCCGTAGACACTTTTTCTCTTATGTTCCTCGGACAGTTTCAAAAAACCACAGTGACAAAGGTGAGCTTCAATGACTCTCTGAAAATGTAGCTCATCACACATGTGCCTGAAAGTGCACATATGCGGAAAAAGATAGCTAACTGGGGACGAGCATGTTGGACGGCCTTACGTAAACATCACCAATATGATTGATAATAAGGAGATCCACTTAGTTAAATGATCCACTCTGAAATACAAGATCGTACTCTATACCTTTAAAATAGCTTCAACTTTATGATTTATTTCTTTCCTTATTGTTGAGTTAACTAACCTTTAGTTCAGTGTTTTTATATATTGATATTGTTCACTTATTCCAAAGGTAAAGTCAGAAAAGCATTTCCTTTGTGGGCATAGCCATTTGAAAATCTGTGGGAGTGTATATGTGTCTGCATGCATGTGGGTGATTGATTAGGGAACATGAATATTATTTTATTATTTTATTGTCCTCGCTTTGTTTTTTATATATATATTTCTTGAGGTTTTATACCTCGAGACATAAAGAAGGCAAAAAAAGTGAAATAACAAAAAAAAGTAACAGATTATCCAAATCTCAGTCTGACAGAAAAGCTCATCCTTCTAAACAATCCATACTGACATTTCCTATGCCACATTTACTTAGCATACTATGTCTGAAACTAGGCAGTTTTATTTCTTCCTTTTGTGGAAAAATATGGTTTGTGACAGAGCCTTCTTTTCCCTTGGATATAAACAATATAACTGATTGGGGTGAAATTGAGGGGTTTGTGACATGAGGCTGGCAGCAAAAAGGAAAACTAAAAGCATCCATTGCTTCAGGAGTGCTATGACAGAGCAGTGACAAATTCTATCAGAGCAGAAGAAACATCTATCTAGTCACATTTTATAATCTGAACACTATTCTTATGAAAACCCTATCTATAGTTTTTGACTAATCCATCTTTATGAAAGATAGCGTGTTGTGAATTGATTTGATTTGATTATTCAGCTGACATACGTCTTAAGGGCAATGAGTTTATCCAAAGGTTTTATTTAGTATTTATCTATTTAAATTACATTGGATGAAAAATATCTGGATAAAAATGAGCAGATTGCTCAGGAATGACATCCAGTATAAAAGCTTTGCCAAGTCTGACTCTTAAATAAGCGAGCAGCTGAAAGGACCCAAGCAAACGGTGAGTTTCTGAATTGATTTGGTTAGTTGTTTTTAAAGCTTAGTCTTTAATCATAGCCCCAATCATTTTGATTTCAGTCTAAATTCAAACAATTCCTGAGGGTTAAGTTTTTTCATCTTTAGTCATTTCAAAAGTTGAGTTGATGTTTTGAGATTGTTGACCTAATTCGAGTTTGTTTAAGGGCTGCTACTAACATTTACTTTGCAAATGAATTAATCTTTTCATTTTTTATTTTTCCGTTAATATTTGGATAGCCAAAGGTTCCTTAAAGATTTTTTACGAAATTAAACCAGGTATAACTAAAACTTTTCCACTTGAGGAGTTCTAGATAGAGAATATCTGTAATATAATATTGATATAATATAATATCTTAAATGCAAAATGTTTATAATTTTATTTTATGCTTACAATTTTGATATAATTACTGCTCAAAGTGAGTTGCTCTGTGAGCTAAAGGCACGTTTTAGAGTCTATACTCTGATTAATCAATTAATTAATGATTAATCAATTAATAAATTAGTTGATGATTATTTCAATAATATGTTAATCACAATTAATATGATTCATTGTTTAAGCACAAGTTTGTTTTTAATAATAATAATAATAATAATACATTTTATTTAACAGCGCCTTTCTTGACACTCAAGGTCACTTTACAAATGATACAAAAAATAAATAAATAAATAGAGACGAAAATACAAAATACAGA